TTTTCACTTCACCCCTTCTTGGCCGTTGCTCATGATTCCCCAACCCCTCTAACTTTTCAATGAACTGGAGTAGTTGAAGCGATTCTGCGAGGAATCTCACCTCCAGACCGTCATCATCCAAGCAGCGCATGTGCCAACGAATGAGGTGAGTCAATTCCACCAGTTGTCATTTCCAGGAAACTGGAACTATTGGATATTGACGATGAACATACTTTTTGAAAAGGAACATTCTCAGATATATTTATGAAAACAAAAAATGTATATATATGAAGAAATACATTAAGAATTCTCATTCTCCATGTGATGAAAATATTAATTCTTTCTCGGTTCATTCAACAGAAAACAACTACTTTTCTGGCTATATGCCACGACGAATATTGAATTGAATCTATTGAACACACACGATAATAATTTGAAAACAAAATCTTCTGAAGTAGAGAATTTGCATTCTCCTTCATATAAAGATATGCATATAATATAATTCTGAACATTCAACAAAAAACAACTACTTTCCTGGCTATTTGCCAGGTCGAAGATTGAATTATATCTGTTGAATATCCAAAAAGAGAGCATGAAAAATCAAAATCCTCTAGCACCAAATTGATTTTCGAGATATCGATATCGATTCTTTCACACTGGTTGACGAACCAGTGACAAAACTCGATATCCCTTGTACTGTCACTGGTTTTTGTGAACGGCATTGTTTGCCCCGAAATAATTAACTTGTATTTTCTCTCGACGTTTACCGAAAAATCACTTGGCTCCAAGCCTACTCTCTGAAAGTTGTGCCAGAACACATAATCGTTATTGTTTATAGAGAGTTTAGCACATAGCCTACTGGACATAAAAACAAAAATTGAAAAGCAGTACTCTTTATGCGATAAAACTGTGACTGTGATACATCACTAGAAAGGAAATTTTATGCTGATTTCAAATCTGTGAAAATCCAATATGGCGTCCATAAGAAAAACCGAAATTGTATGTGATATCTCAGAAATTTTACATTATGATGGAAAACTGACAAAACCATTGAAAAGAACACCAAAAAGTGCTATGAGAATGTTGAAGTCATTTTTTCATAAAATCAATAGTTTCCGAGATATTCGAGAAAAACAAAAATACAAGATTTCATTTTTTCTCAAATAACTCAAGAATGACTGAAGCCTGGATTTCTTGATAGATTCTGATTCAACATCAAATTTGCTACAACTTTGCTAATATTTAAGCACTTCTCTATCGCTCATAGTTACTGAGATCGAATTTGGGACACACTGTATATATCCATTTTTTGTGTTCATGAATATATTTGAGAATGTTCCTTTTCAATACTTTCACCCAATCAAGGGGTTCAAACTTGAACGATGGAAACTTGTAATTTTTATTGACCTCAATCGCAGAATCGTGATTAGGTTTTTCTCAATTCAGAATTTCTTCCCACGTCCTGTATGATGAATGTCAATTTATCATACATCCAATGAACATACTTTTGTAACATAAAGATGGAAATACGTTGATCTATTTTTATTCGCTGACGTTGCGATGACATGAAAACTACGGGAAAACATTCCTAACTGTGCTACCGCGAATACTAACACAAAAGTTGTATTGTGTGAGAGTGTGATGTATACTTCTTACAACACAAGCTCTTGTATGATCTTCTTTGCTATTGTTTTATCTAACGTGATTCTAGTAGTTCCTCAAGGCTCTCATTGTGGACCGTTACTTTTCAATTTGTTTGTTAACGATATTAGCAAATTTATTTGTCACTGTTTTTATGTTATATGTAGATGACTTCAAAATATTTAAAGAAATTCAGCATCATATGGATATTAATATGATGCAATCTGATTTGAATAACTTCAATGTCTGGTCTAGGGTTTATCACTTGGACCACAATATTTCAAAATGTTATTGTATCAGTTCTTCAATGGGTCATAATTATATTGAGAGCGCTTATAAACTAAATAATTCTGTATTGAAGAGAGTCAATGAGATAAAGGACTTGGGCATAATATTTGATGTTGAACTAACTTTTAGAAATCATATTACTAAGGTAGTGAACACTGCTTCAAGAAACTGAAGTTTCATTACCAGGAACAGTCAACAATTCTCTCCTGAAACACTTACTTCACTTTATTGCCATTCGATTATACCTTCACTTGAGTATTATTCCATCATTTGGACACCTTTTTATCAAACACATATTGATTGCTCATATAAACTACCTAGAAATCTCAATGGAACTTTATCTCCCAACTTTAGAAAAGCGTAGATTAGTGTTTGATATGTGTTTCCTATATAAATTGATCAATGGCCCTATCAATTCTCCAGATCTACTTAAATTGATTAGATTCAATACGTCGGCCAGAACAAGAAATCCTGCTTTATTTTCCTTGACCTTTCACTCAACGAATTATAGTAACAATAACCCTATATCAAGGCTTCAAAGGAATTATGTTGTTCTGCAAAATCGTTGTGACCTATTCTGTGGCAGTCTAAGTAAATTGAAAACTAATGTGAAAATATTTATGAATATCTAGTTAATGTAATAAGTTTAACTGATATGCTACATTTCTATGAGTGTAATTTTTATTGTTCCTATTATAATTCTTATTTTATTATTTTTTATGGTGTAACCGTTCAAATAATTAAATATTTATATATACAGGGTGTACCCTGTATATATATAAATAAATGAATACAATAACACATTGTAAGTAAGATAGCGTCATCCTCCCTAAGCTTTAATTAAGTTTTTGTATTAATCTTCTATCACAGGACACTTTAACCACCCAGCAAATTTTGGGGCATTATAACTTTGACAGATACTTCACCTCGATTGGTAGAGACGGAATATTGAAAATGTTAACACAGAGCTCCTCCAGCTCTAGAAGGCAGGCTTGAACGTCTAGAACGTGACAAAAATCACTTTACATGGAAACCATTGTTCTATTCAGAGGGTGGAATACCCTTCTATTAGACTTGGTGACAACTTGTTGGTTACACCATCACTGAGTAACCAAAGCCATTATTTCCAGTGAAACTCCTGGAATGTTTGTACCAGTGTGTATCAAATAAAAGTTCAATAGATCATTGCTGAATTGACCCTAGAAATAATAGGGCTGGGATACGCTTAGTTGGCGGTCTTAGGACTGCTGACTGGAGACTGCCCTGCACTGATGAGAGTCAAAGAGCTCGAAACCGGTCTGTGGGTGTCTAGCGTGGCCTAGCTAAATCGAAATCAATAGGCATTCAGGAAAGAATCACTCATCAGTATTCGTTTATACGAGTCGATGCATAGATTTCGGGAGGATGAATTCAATGTTTTGCGTGGCATTAGCCAGGAAAGTAGTTGGTTTTCTCCCGAAATCTACCATTGTTGTTCATTTCATGAACTTTGTGTGGAACTGACTTTGAGTTTTTTGTGTTTATTCAACTTCCATTCCACTATGAGCATTGTGGCTATTTTGTAGTTGATACTATTTTGCTGATTGTAACGATAGCTTGTTGCCTACTCATTTCGCGAATGACACTGTTAACAAAACTACGAGCGGAAAAAATTAAAATAGTATTTGTATGATATGACAAGCATAAGCTATAACGCTGTTACTACTCCCCTCCGTATTTTTCAAAATTCGAGCGGAAAAAATTAAAATAGTATTTGTATGATATGACAAGCATAAGCTATAACGCTGTTACTACTCCCCTCCGTATTTTTCAAAATTCGATCGGAAAAAATTAAAATAGTATTTGTATGATATGACAAGCATAAGCTATAACGCTGTTACTACTCCCCTCCGTATTTTTTTCCAAAAATAATGCTTTGTTGGAAAACACTCCGTCTTTCAACATCTACCTCCGATGTTTCGATTTGAAATATCGGGGGTGCAATGAAAAAAAAAATAATTGAACAATAATTATGGTATCGTTTTTTTTTTCTACACATACGTTCTTGATTCAGGAGTTACGCAGCAGAATTTTAAAATCGATTTATCTCGACGTAATAATGTGGAGACTAACATATTTCCTGGTCAAAGCTTGTCTTATTTGTCACGTTTCTGAAAAAACTGTCAAAATGTTCTCAACATTTTAAAGTCAGGTACATGTACAAAATTGGGGCATTTTATCACAAGAAGTTTCGAAAATATTTACAAACACCTTCATCTCGGTATTGTCTTTGAACCCTGAGGAGCCATTTCTGGATCAACGTTCATGTAAACTATTTTTATTATTTTTGTTCCTAGAATCTCGTCTTTGAACCCTGAGGCCATTTCTGGATCTACGTTCATGTAAACTTTTTTCATTATTTTTGTTCCTAGAATCTGTAGTTGAAATATTTCTACGTAATTTCGGGACCCCTGTGTAGAAGCGAGTAGAGAAATTTCCATAAATTCATAAACTCCAATTCCACCTCAATATTACTCAAATACCGTTTGATTTCTTGATCGTAAAACCCTCCCATTCCATAGGCAAAACTGTCCGTATCGCTCGAGCGCCCCCTCCACAATATTGTCTTTCCGAAAATGACGGCGTCGGAAAAATGTTGTCTTAAATTAATATGGCGACACTATGAAGTCATCGATCGAATTTTCATCAAGTAACCCAATAAAATAACAATTAAACGAAGTATTCCGAATGGTTTTTAATGAAACAAGCAAAAATTCATCTCCAGTCAGGTGTTGCCATATTGCTTTTAGAAAGAAATGTCTCCTGTGCCGACATTTTCAAAATAAATGACCTAGGTCTATTTCTGGTGAAACCGTAAGTGATTTTTTTTTGTTTTTCCATGGAAAATATGGGTTTGAAGGGACTATATTTCAGATCCAAATGTTGAAAGCCTAACGAAAAAATCAACTGAATGACACCCTGGCCAGTGATTCCGTTGTCACTTATTATTGAAACGAAGAGAGAACATTCCATAAATTCAGAGAAATGAATATTCCACCTCCCTGATCAAATATCCTTGAGTTTCTTGATCTTAAGACGCCTCTATTCGATAGGCGGAAGTGACGATGGCATCAACGTTGCGGCCATGCTGGAAATCCTCAGGAAACTGTCCGTATCGCCCGAGCGCCCCCTCCACAACATCGTCTTCCTGTTTAACGGGGCCGAGGAGACCCCGCTGCAAGCCTCTCACGGCTTCATAACGCAGCACGCATGGGCAAACGAGTGCAAAGTCGTGGTAAATTTGGAGGCGTGTGGCCACGGCGGCAAAATCATCCTGTTCCAGACAGGGCCGGAGAATCCTTGGTTGCTGAAGTATTATGGTAGGGTGCCGCACCCGTACGGACAGGCGGCTGGGGAGGAGATTTTTCAGAGCGGGCTGATTCCGTCTGATACGGATTTCAGGATATTCAGGGACTTTGGAGGGCTTGTCGGTGAGTACGATGGCATGTATTAACACTTTGGCTATATTCTGAATTCAACTGACAGTACTGAATCTGCTGATATTTCATTCCATAATCCAAAAAATTCACTGAAAGTGGCAGATACTTGTGAGCAGACATACTATTCATTCCAAATATTATGACTCAACATTCTGCTGAAATTGTAGTTTCTTGTCCTGCTAGGATCATTAATCACTGAAGGGATAATAAACACTAGAGTTCCTAAATGTACTTGAAACTGCTGTTTTGACGTTTTTTGTATATTAGAGTACGGACACTAGACAAGCAGTGACAATCAAACATAACCACAAACGATTTTGAAATAAATCATATGTTTTGCCACACGAGGAGAACAATATGTTTTTCGCTTAGATAAAGGATTTTTGCATCTTCCTTCCTCCACAAGTCCTGGGAAGAGTACATCAATATATCTTTCTCTATCTTTGATTTTTGTATGAGAGTGCATAGCGTCTCCTCGAGCGGGTAAAAGGGTACGATAAATTGATTAGAAAATTATCTGATAAGGCTGAAGGACCTCAATTTAGGTCGATATCAACTTGGTATGTACAAATATACCAACGAAATACATATACTATTCCTATAAAATAAGTCTCTTATATGTAGGTATATATTTATATACGTTCAGTTGAATATTTTTTTATCACTAAAGTTCAGAATGGGGTAAAAACTGATAAATTTCAACCAATGAAACATACTTTTATTCCGTATGGAACAATTCTTATCTTATCCTACTCGCAATGCTGTTACCTTCAGAAACACACGAGCTAATACAAATATTATGCTTAACTCGCCTATTTATGTAATGTGCAATAGCTATAACTGTATTGCAAACATGTGTGACATATTCAGTTGTAGCATTAGTTGTTTGATTAAAATTGTAAATTTGCTGCCATAGGATAACCATGTGATTAGCTATAATTTCGTTATTTCTTATATTATTTTGATCTTTATTTAGCTATGCTTCATCATATTCTGTAATATTGTCCTGTAAATGGGTAACTGTTGGACAATAAAGCTACTATTATTATTATTATTATTATTATTATTATTATTATTATTATTATTATTATTAATTCCACTTGTACAAGAGTAGTAGGTAATAAGTAATGAATAAATGAACAAATGATATGGCAACAATAACAACTGATTTCAGTTAGGATAAATAATGAAGGTTCTCAAAGACATACAGAGGTAGGTATAAATGGACTTCAGCGCTCGACTCACTATAGATCGCCGTTCACATTGCTAAAGGGGATTGTTGGTTTGAATCCGGCCATCGGAAGATCATTTTCAATACCTAACAAAAATGGTGCACTCGTTGAGCGTTCTTGTTCTGTTCTCTGATAATATCTTGCTCGTATCTTGGTACCCAAGAAGTGGTTCAAAATCCACTAGGAGCAAAATAGTCGTCTAGCACTTCTCAACTACGCATGAACATGCACATACAGACTTGGGATTTCAACTTTGGAGAAGCCATACACGAACAATATATTCAACTCTTTGATATAGATACATCAATATCTGGTACAAAGTGAATAAATGTTTTCACAAAATTATTATAAGAGTTCGTATACGAGAAGAATTCTTGGTTGACCAGAGATTTTTTTCGTTTCTTGTTGGTTCTAAATCGGAATAAGGTTCTTTTCGATACTCGCTCAGTTAATAAATTGAGGGTTTGGCTCTTTCTCTCAATACGATCCTATTCTTCAACATCAAATCTTCCGTTCTGAAGTGTTCCTGATGAAATTGCGTTGGAACATGTTCTATATCCTACCAAGAAATTTGAATACCTCTCAAATTTTGTGGCCTGAACCTATATTCCATACCGACCGCACCATATTCTGTTTTCATTTTCTTAGAATTACGTTATTCGATGGAAATTGAATAGAGTGAATTGATTTTCCGTGTTCTCACAGTTGGAAACTGCACAAACTTGCATCTTTCTCCTAATTCTCTGAATTTGTCAAACCTTTGAAATTTATGTCATGTACGTCCGTGTACTGTCAGTTCCCGCTTTTTCCATCAATTTTTTGTGGTTATGTCTGATTGTCAGTGCTTGTCATAGTGTCCGTACTCTGATATACAAAACACGTCAAAACAGCAGTGTAAAGTTCATTCAGGAACTCAAATAAACACTACGTAATATTCGGTTGTCTATTTATTCAATGCCTTGACATTATAATATTATGTAGCCTCACATGTGCCCACCTAACCTGTATGACACACGCTGTCGCGTGATCTTTATTGTGTCCTTGTGTACGCACAGTTAAGCTGCCCGAATACTACTACCGACTCTCTCCGTCTCTCCCGCTCGTCGCTCGTGTATCTCAGTTCCGCGTACATCGCGCCACACGGTGGTATAATAAAAGGCAATGTTGCCACCTACTCATTAAACTGATACACTACAGAAATTGCTGACTATCAGGAGGTAGTGTGGCTTCAGTGAACTGTTATTATTTCAGAGGGTAAAGGAAAGTAACATTTATTTCTGTTGTTTTTCAAACTTGTAGGCTTGGTTTATCAATAATGAATCAATAATATCATATTTAATATCAGAAAATGCCTGTTATTAAAATAATTGACGCTGAGAATGATATTCAAATTTCACCAGTTGATCAACTGCTGCTGATTACTCATGAAAACCTGTTCCGAATTACAGTACAATATTTTTGATCTTATATTTCGGAACACAGATTTTCAGCAGAGTCAGTGGAATTACTGACAGTACTGACCAGTTGAATTCGGAATATAGCCACTAGCAGTCACGTCAGACTTTTGACTTTTGACCACAGGCCGTGATACACGTAGCCAGGTTCAAAGTGATGCATGATGCATAGAGATTTGTTTTAGTTGACGTCTGAATATTACAGATCGAGTACAGCAAAGTGCCATTCAAATGCGGCTGACTATTTATTTTTGACCGACGTGGCCTGAAGCCGGACCCTTACTGTCAGTCAGACAAGACTGTGGCGGCACTTTTGTAATTTTTCCTATCAGTGAAACACTTTTTTCTGCAACTGACACAAAAGTCGTCCATTTTAATACCAAAATTAGCTGTTGAATTGACGTTTCTATAACTGACACAAAAATTGGTATGTTGCTAGGCAACACATTTAGTTCCCAGGAGCCAAAGTTGAACTTTTGCTCCTAGGAACTAAAAAGGATGTACTAGAGATAAAAAATGAACAACATCGTTACGGTTGGATATTTGGGTTGGGACGCACACCTGATTTGTTTCCGATTTCAGCAGATTTGGCATTTCATACCCATGCTGATGGAGATATAAATACACCTTATTATAGTTAAGAATTTTTGGTTTGATCAGGGAAGCCTTCAAGATTCATATACTTGCTCGATCTGTATTTTATTCGTTATTCTCAAATATATGAAGAAGGATCATATCTTCACAAACGTACTGACCTAACTTGAGCGTAGCCCCGTTGAATTTACTATCAAATGCTGTTTCTATCAAGTGTATTTCCTATCAAATATTTTTCCTATCAATTGTATTTTCTATCATTTATGTTTCTATCAAATGTATTTTCTATCATATAACATTCGATCGAATGCATTTTTATTAAAAACACTTTCGATCAAAAGACTTCTATCAAATGTTTTTCTATCATTTGTCTTTCGATCAAATTTCCGCCACCCAATATGAAGAAACAGAGTGGGGAAGATTATAAAGAATACCTACGTGGTGAAAACAATGTTCGCTCTCGTGATTGTGATTTTTCAGAACTGCTCTCTTTAATTTGCCAATGGAAGTAAGTATTCGAAAACAACCACAAAAAATATCTGGCTAGATCTGAGCTCTCATGGTTTTACCCTCTATAAAATCTTGCGGAGAAGTAAAAATCGTGCCAAAAAGTAAAATCGTACGGAAAAGAACCTTTCAAAACGAAAAATCGTGCGGAAAAGTTACTGTTCCGCATTCTCCTAGAAAAATTCTTATCAAGTCAATTTATTGGTGCATCATCATCCTATATTTACTGATAGATACACATGTTTTCACACTCTTGGTAGGATTAATCAATTTATACGTACCTATGTAGTCTATGTGATTAATAGTTATTTTACCAACTAGTGTATCAATTTATTAATAATCCAGATATTTTAACTTGCGAGCAAACCTTCAAACCGTCAAACGTGCGCTGGTCTAGTTTTCACTGTCAATTTTAGAAACGTTAAACTTTTAATCTTTTTCAATTTGTAGGTCTGGATATGGCGTTTTACAAAAGTGGTTACAGATACCATACGAAATACGATGATTTCGAAAATATTCCACCAGGCTCATACCAACATGTCGGAGACAATATTTTGTTCTTGGTGAAACAACTGGCGAATGCACCTGAACTTTCTGAAGGAACAAATGTACCTGGAAAGATGGTTTACTTTGATATTTTGGGATTGTTCATGGTATCTTATACCACGGCAATAGCCATCGTCGTCAATTCAATGGTCATAATTTTATCACTCGGTGCATTCATTTGGTGTATTTTGGATTTGAAAACAGGTAAATATTATCTATGATCTGATTTTCAAGTAGTTTCACCGTTATTCGCTTCAGTAAATTTAATATTACTTTATAAATCTTTGATAATACAAATCAGTTTAATTTGTATCTCTTGGTGATTCTAGGTAACCTAAAATCTATTTTGAGCTATATTTTCCTTACACTTGGTGGCATCTTGGGTGGATGGATATTATCTGGAGTTTCGTTAGTGTCGGTGGCATATTTGTTGGATTTTTTGAGACCAATGAGCTGGTTCGCAAACCCTTGGTTGATTGTCGGTCTGTATGTTGTCCCGACTATCGCGACTAGTAGTTGCTTACTTCTCCGGCTAAATTTTGAGGTGAGTCTGGCCAATTTCTCAAACACGTCATCTTAGCTACCGCAACAATTCCCAGTAGTGATGGGGTACACGAGTACAAAGAATAGGTGAGTATTGGATTCTCTTGAGTACCGTAAAACGGGGCGACTTGATCAACGTTTTCGTAAATAAAGTACAGTACAGACGTCACTATATCAATTTGCTTGAAATGAAATTTTTTCTTCATTACTTTGGGGTTATGACTAGCGATCACTGAATTGAAAAAATGTATGCGTCCCTCTCATTCTTAAAAAAAAAAAATATTCGGACAAGTTATCGAAATACTTATTGATAGTTTCATGACAAACACTTGCTCTACTTTCTTTTATAGATTGTGACAGCCTCCTGGATAGCCGCTCCTTATATCTGTTCAAAAACTTTGAGAGCCATGTTTCGCCTGGTCTGTTATTTTTGAATTAGGGTATATTTTTCCCGCTCCTCCGCAGATAGCTCTGTACTATGTCTTTAATATCTGCTGGATCACAAGATCTTCTTTCTCTGCTTTCGACAGAACAGGTTGACCTCCTGGAGAATTAGTGTGTAACCCCTTCAACTTTCGATATAAGGAGGCTAATAGTATCTGATAGCGTTCGCTTAAATGCTTCAGGTTACCCCTTCTATAGTGAGACAGGGCTAGATCTACTGTTTCATCACTATAATCGCGGCACTTTCGACTGCCCAGCTTCTTCTATATGTACGAACCATTTTCAAGTCGCCCCTGAAATTAAAAAAAAATGAGACGCCACTGATAGGTGTGCTCCAATTATTCATTTTTGAGGTTAGAATCCTATTGTCGACTTAATAACTACTGAAAAAAAAATCAGTTTTGTCTTGGCACTTCCTAGTGTCTCTGTGTGATAGAAAGTTTAAAGGTGACAAAAAAATAATTCTCTTACCTTGTTTTAAAAAACACAACACCGAGAATAGGACGTAAACAAAACACGAAACTTACATAAGTCTGATAGACAGACTACCACCACTTCGAACTAGGCGACAATGATGACTAAAGAACCAGGTTTTTCTGCGCAGGATTTTTTCTCGCCAAGCGCTGTGAAAGTTTTTATCTCACCCCGGTGGTTTCAACTCGCCCCGTTTTACGGTACTCGGTTGTATTCGATTCCTACGGAAGAATTTGTACTCGCCGCAGTATCGCAACCACGAATCGCATTCGCTACCACCATAGATGTGTATATTTAGATTTATGCTACCACTATCGTAACTGCGATGGAAGGAGCATGTGACGTGGACTGTACTCGAACTGGTATCGTATCGCGATCGCGTTTTGTGCTTGTGTTGCCTACTGTCGTCTCTCTGTTTCTCTCGTTAGTCTTGTCTCCTCTTGTCTTATCAAAGTATTCGAATTCGAACGACCGAATGGAAACGTAACGCAAAACTGCAAAGATCTGTCTATTTATAGTGTTGCTTAACCTCTAACCTGCTAAAGTTGTTTGAGTTTTAATTTTACAAGCTTTCTTCTATGGTAATTTTTGTTCATCCCACACTACATAAATAGGGATGGCAATAGAAAATTATCAAGTTTATATATACCTACTTCAAAAGTCCAAAATTAGTAATAGCACTGGTTCTAGTTCACTGATGAAAGCCGTGTTTATTTGGTATTCGAATTAATAGTTGGTATTATTATAATTAGTTTATGACTCGATATGTCGTCATTCATTCTTTGTACTCGAATACTGAATACCATGTATTCGATTCTCGAAGATACTCGATTCTGCACACCATTAATTCCCAGTATATGATACAATATAATTATCAACATTCTTCACTTGAGTTGAATACAACTGAAGGCTATTCCAAATTCAACAGCCGACAATGTCCGTGATTCCACTGACTTTGCTGAAATTCAGCTGATCCTAAATAAACTGGAAAAAAGTTGAGGATAAAAAAATGACAGTCCAACCTCATCCGTTATTTGCTACATATCGGCTTTATAACGTCAATAACTATCAAGGGACTGGTATTTGTAGTTTTTATTGAGTCTAAAAAGTGGCAGTTAATATGGTATATGTCTTGTTTTATACCTGTCTTGTCTCTGTAATGAAATCATATCTTTCGATAGTGTAGTTGTGTTTGAACAACTTTTGAACGGTGCTATCAAAGTTGTGTCATCTGCAAAAATCACTCCTTTGTTCTCAATATGATTTGATATGTTGTTCGCGTAGATAATAAATATGGTTGGTCCTAAGACGGAACCTTGAGGTACACCGAAAGCTAATGATCTAACTGATGACACATCCTTACCGATCTGGATGTACTGTGTTTTTCCATGGCGTATAAATCAAAAGTTGAATAGACATCTTTGGAACACCGTAAGAAATCGGCGACCTTTTACTTTACTATGGAGACTTTCACGAAAAATGTTCGGAAATTTCGGCTTTCGCACGACAAGCTCGGGTTATTTGGAGAAACTATGAAAATTATTTTCTTATCCCTAAGTTTGTTCGAAAAAAAAACTGAAATGGGTAAATTTTGTAGAATTTAGACTTGAATATAAGGAGCCAGGTCCAAACCCACATAGGAAGATTGATATGGACATGTATATTACTAATAGGGACCATTTTCCATATCCGTAGTATGTATGCAATAATGGTACCAGTATTGTTCAATGCAATGGCATTTTTAGTAATATACATTCTTGGATGGCAACGTACACGTAAGTATTTAGTTTCCCATCTTTTCATTTTTCTAGAGCTTCCTATTTTACTTTCTGCTTGTGCCATTGCTATCAACAATATAATGGATGTTCCTTAAATAGGGAAAGATGTTACCAAAGATATGTTAAAATTAGATGTTGGCCTTTGATGTCATAGTCTAAGCAGGGTATTGGTCGAATTTTCAACTCAGACATATGTGAACATGGTCCTTTCATACAGTGTATTTCAAAAGTCTGAGAACGGTATCATATTTCAGAAACGGCTCGGAGAAAATCTATGAAATTCTGTACAGGGATGGTTTTTGATGATGCCCAATTCAATGGTGATATTGGCAATGTTGCCAAATCAAAAGTTTTTCAGATGTCATATTTCAAAAACCACATCAATTTGAAATCTGATATTTCGATACATAAGTACTGAGGGGGCGCTGAATTGATTGCAATGAAAATACATAGCGTGTTCCATTTGAAAAAACTGAGTTACCTTCAATATCAACATTGCCAATATCACTATTGTATTGGACGTTATCAAAAATCATCCTGTATAAAATTCCATGAATTTTTTCAGAGCCGTTCCTGAAATATCACACGTCCAGAGACTTTTGAAGACACTGTTTACAAACAAAATTTGCTGGAACTATTTGTTCAAAAAATTTAACATAGACTAAAAATCAGCACCCTCTATAAAGGTCAGCTAGTGATGGCGTATATGTATTCGAGAATTTTTGTCAGTAACCAATAAAAGCAAGTTATAAAATATACTAACATCGAAGCCAAATTCATCTAACGAATATATTCATGGAATCGACATTTTCATTAATACTCTGTATCACAGAAGACAAGACAATTACTGACTGTCGAATTTTAATACGACTACTGTAAGTTTCTCCTTATTTTGCAATAGATGGTGGTATGAAAACTAACACCCTCGACTCAGTGCCACTCGAATAATTTTTTTGGAAGATGAATATGAACACTTCCATACCATGAATATTGTCGTCTCAAAGTTGTGAGATAAAGTACTACCGATCGCCGACCTTAATCCAACACCCTGTGTATTATTTATTTCAGTTAGAAAATGGCAAATCGCTTATATAATAAGTCTGGTGATTCCAACTGCCTTGTTAATGTACCAAATGTTGGTAACGCTTTCGTTATTCATCCCTCTGACTGGCAGAATGGGTTCAGATAAACATTCAGAACTAATTGTTGGATCCATCACAGTTTTCTTCGCTCTGCTCATTACTTCTCCCTATGTAAGTATATACAAATAATATTTTCTGATAATTATGTTTAATTCAATCATGGAATGTGGTACACACGCTAGTCGAATTTACGCCACATACCTATTTTATATCGATTTCTCCATTTATCTTATATTGATTCCTCCATGTAAAAATAGTATTCGATTCAATTATTCGTTATTTAAAATACAAAAATCGGCATCTTTCAAAAACGCTAGCTCTTGACCGGCTCCACCGATACTAAGGTCCCTTGATGCAAACTGGCGTATGTATGTATGTATGTGTGTGGGCGGTCCGGGACCTGACGCACTTAGGCCTCCCTTTTCGGGCCCATTGTGCACCCACATTCCTGGGATCGCAAGTCAGCCATGGAGAAGACCGATCTCGCGAGCAAAAGAGACCAACTTCCTAGGCCAAATCTTTTTAACATCCTCTGGGTCCAAGATACTGCTCCCAAAATGGATATCCCTTGCTGCCACTATTGCCGGGCATTCAGTGAGGATGTGAGTAGAAGTCTCTTCATCCTCTAGGCACCATCTGCATTCAGGATCCTCCACAATCCCGATCATGCTGAGATGTTTGTTCAGGTGGCAGTGCACTGTCAGATGGCCCACCATCAGTTTCAGCTCCTTCCTGTTCAAAGCCAAGAGGGCATTGGTCTGACTTCGTGACGGGTTTTCTATATGGAGTTTGGACTGCCTCATTCGAGGAGCCTTTCTTCAGCTGTCCTGAAACCTTTCCGTCAGGATTTCCTTCATCTTGAAGTTGCTCCAGGATCGAGTGACCCCTAAGATTGGCTCTGGGCCAACCACTGAACCCTTCGCCCCCTTTCTGGCCAGACCATCGGCCATTTCGTTACCTGGTACCCCTGAGTGTCCAGGGACCCACAAAAGACATACTTTGTTCGTTGCTGACAGCCTTTGTAGGCTATCTATGCACTCTGACACCATGGCAAACTGGCGTATTTGTCATCTAATAGGGTACGGACAGATCATAGCTCCTTTCTCTTTTAATCACCTAGTGACTTTGATTTCGTGTATTGGCGTCCCTGACATGACATTGCTGTCACGTCACATTCATAGGCGTTAAAAGAGATCTTACAAAATTTCAATTTCATACTTGATCTTGATATGACATTATTCAATTCTGTTTTGGAAGAATGGTAAAATGTGCTGCGTTAGGCTGTATCAATCAGTTGGATGGCAAATTTGAATTTGTCAGCTTTCCATCAAATGCAAATGAACCTAGAACATGGAAAGTGAAGTGACCGAATGGGGAAAATTGGTAAATACATCAGCAAAATATTCGAGGTGAAACTAATACGAAATCACATATTATATTTTCTCATTGTGCCTATAATTATCCACTCCACAAGTTTTTGAATGCAATTTAGTAGAAACAGTTTAGATTAAAACGGAGGAGTAAAAGAAGAGGCATATGCCCTACCATTTAAAAAATTATACCTACATTCAGGAAATATCAAGTGATCGTGAAAAACTGCAAAAATGATTCCCAACATGAATATATACAGCACACATGACATATGAGCACATTAGTTTAAATACCTTCATAAAATTTTTCACCATTTCTCAACCATAAGGCTTAGTCTGAAATCTAAATTCATTTATTGATAGGTACTGTCTTAAGAACAGTCTCATTTGGTAAAATGTATTAAACTTTCAGAAACATTTGCTCACTGCCTCACAAAGATTATGCTGGAGTTGGAAAATCAAAAACTCGAAAATTATCATCATCATTTGGATATAATATGTAGAGTTGAATGAGAAATTACATGCGGAAATTGGATATGATACGCCAATGTCCTCAATATAACCTAAAAAACAACAAATGTCAGAAATCTAGTGTTAATCTCCAGAAATGAATAAAGATGGAACTATTTAACTGTTTCACAAACACTTTAGAGTGAGAGGAGTCGAGGATCTGTCCGAACACTGTTAAAATGACAAATACGTCAATTTAATTTACATCAAGGAACCCTAACCGTTACCATCGAGACTACAGGGCCTGCATGCTCCGTGGTGACGTCACCTTAGTGAGGCCTAACCAGCGGCTCGAAATGACAAGCGCTTATGTCGCTATAAGGCGACCGCGTATTTTAATTTTAGTTTCAGATCATTATTGAGCCGATTTTGCTGTTTTTTTGAAGGGCTTCCGGTTGAAAGAGGTTGCCAGTCTCAACTGAGCCCTTCTTCGCATCCCATTCGATATTGCCCGGCGCCTCCACCATAATGTCACGAGTGGCTCTAACGCCCACTATCGCAACTCGAACTCACTCGCTTGCAAGAGGTTTTTTTGAAAATGATAACAAAATAATTTAACTCCACTTCACAAGTTTATTCATTTTGAATAAAAACAATTAGGGCATGAAATGAATTGACCATTAATTATCCAGCAAGATACATCCAACTCAAATCGAAACAAAACAGGAAAACTAAAACTAGTAATACTCAAAAAAGGTACTTACAGAAGGGCTCGCTTTTCGTTGGAGGATTGGAACTGCCACTCACGAAGTTTAGACATGATGTAAATAAGTTTGAGATTTACTTCTATTAGAAGATTTGAAAAGACTTTACGGTCCACTGTCCGAACCACAACTGCCGGTTTTTTCTCTAATACTTTTTCATCTTGGTTTTGGTAGTGGTAATTCATTCAGCATAAAAACTAGTGTATTCACCTCGATTAGGAAAAATCCAAAACCAGCAGTTTCTGCCCGTCAGCGACTTTACTTGAATAATAATAAAATGGAAATCCGAACTTTAATTTCCTTTGAATATCGTAATTCTCTACTGATATCCTGTAAGCTAAATAATTCTAAGAATATGATCTAGACTAGGTTATTGTACTGTTCTTAAATGAAATGAGAATTTCGAATATTCTCAATAAAATTATAGTTTTTATCCATTCTTGACATTATTATGGAAAAACGAAGTTTCAAAGCAAAAACCAGAAGAAAACACAAATACCCACCTACAGCAACCCATTCGAATTAAATATAGTGGCAAAAATTGTAGTGATTTAATCTCATTAGAGGTAAACTCCACACCTACGTATACAGGGCCCGCAGAACATAAACTTATGGTGAGATTGATCGAAAGAAAATTGTGGAAAATGAATTTTATTTTGATAGACATACCGTTTGTTATAAGTACCTATATTTATCTTGGAGAATTCCTATTACCTAAAAAATTAGCCAGTGAGTGTTTTCAATTTCCTGTTGTTGGATTTTTTACCCAATTGATCGTTAGACTTGAAATAGTAATTTTTAAGTAGAGTGTTTGTAGTACATGTTAATATGATAGTTGCAATTTGATCATTGGAATGAATTCTGCATTCATTGCCACGAGGCAAATGACCGTTTTCAGAAAGAAATTTGAGAATGTGTTGAGTCAAAAATGCCCGTTTATTATGAACATTCAAGAATATTTCCTCGAATTCAGAGATGATTTTGTTGAATATAATATACGAATACAAAACTAACTGCACATTCAAAGCTTGCGGATAGAGTAATTTTCCTCTACTCATACTTTTCATGAGAGAGTAATTGTCTTCTATTATTAATTCATCATGATAAATTAAGTTCTGTTTACACAATTCGCACTGAAGTTTTCTAAGTGTAATATAGCAACAATAACCTGCTAAATAGGTTATTACCAGCATGTCATCACTATATTTATCTATATCAGATTCCTCGACTCACAGAATCAATCACAACCGAATATGTAATTACGGGCCCTCGAGAATAAGACAATTTGAATAATGTGACTTTTTGCGAATCGATAATTTTGAACCGGGCAACTGAAAAGACTAATACAACTAGAAATTCTTGAAATTCTGTGTAGTAAAATGATTTTTGGTTATTTTCGAATTCAGTTTTACTTTTGGTGAGTGCTTTTGCCAAATTTTTAGTCTCTAGTATCTCAAGTTTTTCATCACGACTTGTGCGTAATTTTACATCTTTCGATAAATAAGATGGACAGTTTCGAGTAGGAATAACATCTCGTTTGAGCCTAGGAATGTTCAAATCTATCGTTACAGTTTTGCCAGTTTTCGAATCGGTTGCAGTAGATAAAGTAATAATAGCATCTTTAATAAAATGTAATTCACATACTCTACTGTACTTAGATGGAGTGAAATCCTCGCGGTGAATTGCATATACCCACTTTTTCGATAGTTAAATTAAAATCATGAACTTTTGGACCACCCACATAATTCCCCCGACAAGAGGGAACACAACACTTGAAAGGCATTGTTATTTTGCCTATCACAACACAAAATATTTCAAAAAACAGTAATTTTTTCGTCAATTATTTTGATGAATAAACAACGAAAGAATTCGGGACCGTTTGAAAAACATACCTGAATCACCGAACATAAACACGAACTGACGCGTTAGTCGACACGCGATCAAACACTGGCCTCTCTTAGGTGACGTCACGAGCTGTTTACGTCAGAGTCTGCTGGCCTTGTAGTCTCGATGGTAACACTCTAACCGATACCACCTAGTGGAGTAAGAATTAACTTCCACCGTGGGGATGTCCTGGAGATACTGTGATTCAGAGTGACTTTATAAATAGAGTGACGACAATAGTTGTTGACTTTTTGATTAGTCAAAGACCAAAAATTCGTCTATTTCTCACATCTTCTACCTGGCATAGGATAACATGGTTGGCATTCAATCTGCTTCCCCTTCGGCCACAGGCCTAATTTTCCCACTCAAATACTCAATGATAAGCTAAATTTATGTTTACAATAGACATTTGGAAAATTATAATTCCCTTTGTCATCGTAGTTTCGGTGTGACACCTGGTGCCGATGGTGATCGAGAATAATTGATCCGATGACAACGTGTCGTACAGAATATAGCAAAAATTATTATATATGAAAGAACAAAATTAGCGTCCTTATTCATTATTTTATTACCATTAGAGAGGCCACTTCGACAAAAAAAGCGATTTTGAGTAAAATATTGGCTTCTTGAAAGAGACTCGTCACACATGGAACTAATTGAAAAACATTGTACCAAAGTATGGGTGCATATAATTTCTCGGTAGGTACCACTAGAGTGCCTCGAACATCTCATTACACGCCCTTTAAAGAGTGTGGACACGCTTGTCACCAATGACATTTCCGAATTGTCATCATGTGGACACGCTTATTGTTATGTGTGTCTGTGGTGATAATTGGCCCTAGGGCGACGTTCCTAGAGGTGACGGCCAGCAAGTCGCCTGTATGTGAATGGGTGCCTCTAGATATAGAAAGGATCCAAAAAGTGTAAATTTACAAAAATCGCCCCGTATCTCATGAACGGAAACACTTATGCAAAAACGTGAAAACCCACAAGCCTCTATCTTCAATAACAATCGAGGAACCTGGCAGTGTCAACCGAAATGGGGTGCACTGTATGATATTGACAACCCACAATAAAGATTGTAGGAAAAAATTACTGATCATATTCCTCTTTGTACGATTTCTGATTTATTTCAGGTGACTTTGATTACACTGCTCCAAAAACCCAAATACTTTTATGGTATACTGGCAATTGTCTTCTCTCTATGTTTCATTGTTGTTTTCACACCAATGGGATTTCCATATAGTGGAAATTCTGTTTCGCCAGCACCTCAAAGACAATGGATAACTGTGAGTTAAAATAGTTATTTATTATACAAGGGGAATAAAAGTTGTAGATTTTAGCTCCAGGTTTTGTTGTCTCCGGACGCGGAGCGGAGGGAAACAAAAAACCGTGAGCTAAAATCTAATATTTTTTCCCATTTTTTTTTGTGACAGGAAAGAGCAAAAATCAATATTCAGAAGATATTAAATTATATTAAAATCAGAAAATTATCGACGTGAAATTTGAAGTTTTTAACAGGAATGACACCTGCGTTGCATGCATCTTTTTGCAGGCATCTTTATCATTCTTTTGAAGTAACCAAATATCTGTCAGTCTAATTCTGTGATTTGATTTTCAAAAATTGCGAATTTAGTGGTTGTTTAGTAATTTACGTAACCGTGAAGTCGAATGGAAGATAAAAGGACTTGCAGTTCTTTCTCGGAGACGGTGTTATTGGCTTATTTTTCGGAACTATAGCACAACAACAGCCATCAACAGAGTATACACCGTGTCGCAGCTAAAATCCTCCCCCCCCCCCAATCATGTAAAAAATCAACCGCGCGATCGAATGACTTGAAATTTGGTCACCCAGTATATTTGATGATGCTCACTCGAAATATGCTATTGAATAAATCGTAGGTATACAGGGTCACACCGAAGTGCACCTCAACTTTCTTATTTGAATAGGGACACCCAGTATATTATTCCATATTCAAGAACAGTTCAATATTACAATTTCAACAATGTCGGGTTTGATGGAATTTTTTCAAACGACTACGAAGATATGGCAAAAAATTGAACGATTTAATAAAAAAATTATCTGATTGGGTTTTATTAATATAACACGATTAAAATCGAATAATTGGGTGTCCTACACATAACTACAGACCCGTAAAGGATTATCTTCGCCATCGGTTTGGAGACAATCTAATAACCACCAATTGTCTAGATGGTGATAGCAACTGGCCAGCTCGGTCGCCAGACCTCACCCCACTTGATTTTTATTTGTGGGGCTACTTGAAACAACAGGTTTATGAGTCGACAATTGTGAATATGGAAGAAATGAAAGAGCAAATCACAAATTTATGCGCACAAATTGATCGCAACGTGATACATACATACACGGTCACAATGAACGTTATCAAAAGAGCTAGGAAATATTTGCATCAGAATATTGAGCAGTTGAGGTTTCAATTATTTTCGTTTCAAATTTTTAATTGAATAGTTTCATTTCTTGGCATATCTTCGTAGTTGTTTGAGAAAATTCCCTCAAACCCGGCATTGTTGAATTCGTAATAATGAACTCTACTTGAATATGGAATAATATACTGGGTGTCCCTATACAAATAGGAAAGTTTAGGTGCACTTCGGTGTGACCCTGTATACCTACGATTTATTCAACAGCATATTTCGAGTGAGCATCATCAAATATACTGGGTGACCAAATTTCAAGTCATTCGATCGCGTGGTTGATTTTTTACAGGGGGGGGGGCATTTTAACTAGGGCACGGTGTTTATATGTGGTATATACCCGGGAAAGAAGTACTCACTTTTTTTCCGTGGAAAAAAGTAATTTATAAAAAGTGATCTTTTATAACCCGTCAACAGAGATGAAATTTCAAACTTTCTCCCGTCACAGAAAATACACTCTTTGCTGGTATGATTATTTACTATCTGTACAGAATCGAGTGAAACATTCTGGTAAGTGCCAAAATTAAATCATTTTTCAGCATACCAAGAGACTTGTATACGATAAAAATGGAACCATAGAGAGGACTGAATCTGGGCTTTACTTCCTGAACATGGATAGAAATTCGCCGGGTATACTTAGGGACTATGTAACAGACTTAGATAGGGCAAGAGATCTGGATGAAGACTGTAAGAATCTCATCGTCTGTGGATTACCGATTTCACATGCTAGAATGATAAAAATTATGTGAGTTACACCTTCTTTCACATTCAAAAAATTATATATACCAGGTGTCCCAGATATTTTCATACAGCCAATATCTCAGTTATGCTGCTTGTAAAAGAATTTGAAAATTTTACACTTTTGTCTAACCCAAATGACTTTGAAGCCATTGCATCATTGAACTTCTGTCAAACTACCTGTGAAAAACCACCATCAACTTCATTTTCTCTAGGTACGCCCTTAACATTTTTTTGTTGATTAGTGAAGTGCATTAAATTCTTCTTCAACGATGTATCACACTTGATATTTTGACATACTTTATACTTCCAATATTACAAAATTCGAAGGAAATACTACCAGGTGTAACTCATTTGTAATATTTTTTTTTGACAGTTGTTCGTGCACGCGTCTTTTAGTCAGATTGTAGGTACATCCATGTAAGACAATACCTTTTACGTGTTCTCCAAATGAGTATTCTGTCAATTTGCGAGTGGACTAATTATTTTTTATTTCTCAAATAGAATCATCACTCAAATGCCTTCCAATTTAATATTTTTTTAGAATTTTTTGGTCGATTCCTAGTTTTTTTTTTATCGCTTAGGGCGCACGAAAGGGAATCCCTATAATGTTCAAAGAACATCGTGCGTTCCTAGGGAGGATAGGGATAGGAGGTAGGTATTGGAATTTTTTTTGAACTTCTGGAGATTATATGTTGTTGGGAATATTTCCTCAGGCAATGAATTCCAGAGCCTAGCCGTTCTATGGATGAAGGTGTCTTGATAAAGTGCTGTTCGACATCTTTCGAGGTTGACAACGAAAGGATGTGCTGACTGGGCTTGTCTAGTTCGTCTGACTGGTATTGCTAGTGAAGGGATGATAGCAGAGATTTCCGAAGAACATTTCCCGTGGAAGTATCGATAGAAAAGTGAAAGGTCGCCGACCTTTCTACGGTGTTCCAATGATGTCAAAGAGTGAGTGTGGCGTCACCCAACAGGCGAATGGCTCTTCTCTGGATGGAATCTAAGAGCATCAGCGTATGTTTTGGTGCTGAACCCCATATGTGGAAACAGTATTCTAGAACAGGCCGTATCTACGCTTTGTAGATCATGAGGAGCTGTTGAGGTGTAAAGTAGCTTTTCGCAAGGAACAAGAATCCGAGTTTTTGTGAAGCAGCTTTTGCGATGGATCTGACATGATTATCCCATGAAAGAGTGTTGCTGATAGAAATACCGAACATAGATATGGTGGGCTCGGAGGGGATGGTGGTGCCAGACATAACAATGTCTGAAATCATCAATAATGCCACGGTAATTTTCAAACGACTAGAAATTTACCGCCAGTAAAAACTGACGCCACCATTTCTTAAGTAGGGGCAGACCATAGCACAGTTGCCATGTGTTGAAATACGATTGGAAACTTCAGAAATATTAGTTATTCGATAATTCATAAATTCTCAATTGAGTATTGGTAATACTCTTAATTAGCAATAAAAATTCAATTGTCTCAAAATGTTCCCCTATGATATGTGGCTTACTGTTTTTAATAAATTTGTGTGAATATTAATTCACACTATAAGACATTTGAATAGGTGAACGTGACAACCACGGCGCACGACTTGTGGGCGTGGTCTTGTCAGTTCTTAGCATTCAGCACAATATTGCCAAGTCTCCAACATTCACATGATATATAGTTATGGAGAATAAGAAATATTTGGACATGCTGGTTGATCGAAAAAGTCAAGAATTAACTAAAACATCATGGGTTCCCCCTATTGGGTTTTATTCAACGACAGGACTCTGACATCTTTTTGATAACTTGATTATAATTGGTGACTTGACAACCTTGCTTCATGAGTGGAAATGGAAGATTATCTGACCAATAACGAAACAGCATAAAAACTGACGTCACCATTTATTCGACGTATCGCCAAATGGCGGCAATGATTCGTTTGAAATAAGCTCTGAAATTCAACAATTTCGAACAATGCATAGACTCATTATTTACATGAAAAAAGCGTGGGAAGTGTTGCAAAAAGTAATTTAGGTTCCCAATGACACAGTGGAGTAATTGAATGCCAATAATTCATTATCAGTCCACTCGCCCATTGGACGTCATTCAAATTATCAAGTGTGATACATCGTTGAAGTTAGAATTGATTGCACTTCACATATCAAAAAATGTATAGGGTACAATTTGTAAAATAAAGTTATGGTGGTTTTTCAGGGATAGTTTGACAGAAGTTGACTTTGACACAATGACTCGTAAATCATTTGGGTTTGACAAAAGTGAATTTTTTTTCGAGCAGCATAACTGAGATATTGGCTGCATGAAAAAATCTGGAACAACTGGTATGTACAGGGTGGGCAAAATTGGGCGTTTTCACCGTCTATCTCAATAACTAGAGGAGTTATCGAAAAACCGATATACATGTTCCGGGTTCGATTTTGGAGAAACCTCGAATGGCACAATCAAAATTTCGATATCTTCATTCGTTTTAGAGATACAGGGGGAAATTGAAAATTTGCCGATTTCGATTTTATTTTCTGACTACTTTACGGTGAGAGGTATCAAAAAATTTCGAACGAATATTTATACAGTATGATGCGTGGAATCCATTGGCATCATCAGAAATGTTATACAGGGTGACGTTGAAAAGATACGGCAGCCAATCATGTTTTTTTTAAAGGAACACCCCGTATATTTTGGCACACTTGAATAGTCCCAGGCGTTCTCATTACAAATATATATATAACCCTACCTTTTCCTTCCACACTTTCAGATATATTCGCAAAAATATATTCAGTGTGTCACATTTTTATGGTTACACCCCCGTATCTTCTGTAAAAATAATTGAGGTAGGATTCAAAAATTCGCAACTGTCAGAAAGATACAAATGATACACTCATGGAGTCATGGACCAAGTGGGATCATCTCCAATGATAACACTGCTCGCCAGCAGCTATGAAATCATCGATATTTCTGGATAATGCTATCAACAGGCAGAATCGAGGTTGAAAATGACACTCTGTATATATTCACCAAATGTGGAAAATAAATATCATAGGGAATGTAATCTCCAGATGAATGGATATTTGGTGAGAAATAAAATGGGAAATTATTCGATTTGATATCATTGTTATCAAGACATTTGATGAGATACAGAAATAAGACCAATAATTTACTCAATTAGGAAACCAGTAGGTTGCGTTGAACAATATAGCCTTATAGAAGATGTCCAAATTCTAGATACAGAACAATTTTTTTTATGGAACACCCCCTATATTTTGGCAGAGCTGGAAAGTTCCCGTTTCAATTCCAAATATATATCTTATTTATTATCTCTTTGAACGCAAAAATATTAAGTCATACTAGAAATAATGGGTGAAGTATCATATTCAGGCATTCTGCCACAAAATATTATGATTGTTAATGTTTCCATCAATTATTCTTACAGAAGATACGGGGGTGTAACCATAAGAAACATGACACACTGAATATATTTTTGCGAATATATCTGAAATTGTGGAAGGAAAAGGTAGGGTTATATATATATTTGTAATGAGAACGCCTGGGACTATTCAAGTGTGCCAAAATATACGGGGTGTTCCATTAGAAAAAACATAATTGGCTGCCGTATTTTCTCAACGTCACCCTGTATAAAATTTCTGATGATGCCAATGGATTCCACGCATCATACTGTATAAATATACGTTTGAAATTTTTTGATACCTCTCACCGTAAAGTAGTCACAAAATAAAATCGAAATCGGCAAATTTTCAATTTCCCCCTGTATCTCTAAAACGAATAAAGATATCGAAATTTTGATTGTACCATTCGAGGTTTCTCCAAAATCGAACCCGGAACATGTATATCGGTTTTTTGATAACTCCTCTAGTTATTGAGATAGACGGTGAAAACGCCCAATTTTGCCCACCCTGTATACAGTGTGTTACAATTTTCTCCACCCCAATCATGTAATATACTACCCAAAATTATCTACTTTGTCAAGCAAAAAAAATATCGATCACAATTTCTTAGACTACTGCTATCACAAAAACTCCAGCAAAATTAAAGAAAACGGATTACGCATTTATTTCAATAATTTTGATAATGGCAATCGATTCGTATTAGCCACAAATACTCCCATATCAATTTCCAAAACAATATCTCATAAGATGTGTTTTTTATCATTATTACAATTTTTGAATAATTCATTCATCGAGTCACCGTGAATAATAATTGTTTTAAGAATTTGAATAATACCAGACATGATGGTAGTCAGGACTAGGGTCCCTTGATGGAAATTGACGTATTTGTCATCTTAACAGGGTATGGACAGATCATAGCTGCATTCTTTTTTAATGATCTAGAGACTTTAGTTTTGTCTACTGGCATCCCTGACATTGCTGTCACGTCACATCCATGGGCGGTACAGAAAATCATTCAAAATTTCAATAATAGGTATGTACAGGGTATTCACTTGTTGAGGAAGATCATAGGCGAACGAGTTTTGTAACGAAGATCCGATTCTATTCAAAATTGGTATCTGGGGGTTTTCGGGGGTAGGAGATGCGAGATGATGATTGTTTCGTCAAAATTTGAAAATTCAAGATGACGGATCCGATAAGGCGAAAGACATTAGTTTATATAATTATTACTCCATCACAAATATAAAATATGTAGGATGCAACAGTGAAAATAATGTGCCTATACCTACTTCTTTGTTATTTTCATCAATAAATTATTCGAAAATGACTTTTTATTTAAGAGATACGGAAAAATCATATGTATAACATAAGGGTAAAGTATATTCTATTCTTAATTCACCTCCATATTTTACGTATTACTTTCTATCAGCCTACTTTTCGTCTCAGACGAAGTTTTATACATAGTGTGATATTAGTCACTCCATAAATTCTTCTCCGAATTGGATTTCCGAAAATATATTTAGCTCACGTGACATAAGTACAGTAGTTCAGATACCCACATCGAGGTTTCCACCATTTCTCAATCATAAGGCTCAGCTCATTCAGCTCATAGATAACTTCTGCTCAGCTTGAAATCAGAATTCATCAAGTCAATTCAGTCACCCTGGTATACAGTCTAAGAACAGTCTCTTTTGGTGAAATATATTAAGCTTTCAGTACAATTCATGTGTTCCCTACCTCGCAAAGATTATGCTGGAGTAGTAAACTCTAAAACTAGAGGATTGTTCATCTATATCTTGGTATAGTTGAATCAGGAATTCCATATGGAAATTACGTATGATACGCCAGTGACCTCAATATAACCTGAAAAACAACGAATGTCAAAAATTTAGTGTTTATCCCCAGAATTGAATAAGGATGGAACTATATAACTGTTTCACAAACACTTTAGAGTGAGAGGAGACGAGGATCTGTCCGTACCCTGTTAAGATGACTTTAACGTCAATTTCCATCAAGGGACCCTAGTCAGGACTAGATCATCTGACTACAGAGTGAGAAATCCAGGACTAGAATTAGAGAAGAGTTGCGACGAAGAATAATAACAGTTTGCAGAGAGCTGAAGAGAATTGAAAAAATCCTGTAAAAGAGATATTAAAAGTTTAAAGGGAATGAAGGAGATTTGATCGAGAATAAAAAAATATGAACTTGTTAGGAATGGTTGCTGTTTTAATTCATTATCTGGTATTGGTATTAGTTAGTTTTTTCTTCTTTTTATTTCTTGATATTTCTAGTGATGATCTCGCAGATGATATAATCCTGACTACCATCACGCCTGGTATCATTCAAATTCTTATAAGAATTAGTATACACGGTGACTTGAAAAATACAACTTTAAAAAAATTGTAACGTTGATAAAAAACACCCCTTATTAGATATTGATTTGAAAATTAATATAGGAGTATTTGTGACTAGTCCGAATCGATTGCCATCATCAAAATTTATGTAAAAAAATGACTAATCTGTTTTGCTGATTTTGCAGAAGTTTTTGTGATCGCAGTAGGACAAGAAATTGTGTTTGATATTTTTTTTGCTGGACAGAGAAAAAAAACAAATCTTCCTAGGAATACGAAAGTACAGAGGTGGGGTGGACCAAATTGTAACACACTGTATGTATAGCAAGGCTGATTGATTTACGTGACTGTTTTCAGAATTTCGGATATAAAAAGCTAATTTTGTCAATGAAAAAAAAAATTGCGAAAATCATCTTCATTGATCACATTTTTAGTAAGCTAGTGACCTCTATTCCGTACTAAGTTATGCATTTGTTATCCTAACCGTATAGGTCGCGTGAACCATGACCGACCCTGGAGGTAAAACATTGACACACAACCTCACTTCTCTTTGAAACATCGAAACAAAACACACCCTCACTTTTCTTATTCGTTTTCAAAGGAATCAAAGTATTTAAATAGTTTTTCACAATATTTTGGCATCCGAATCGTGTTTTTGGGCTATTCATTAATTCAAGCATGCCATGACATTGTGCTGTTGTACAATGCACAAAAAATGCAGCGAGAGACGAAGGAATCCGAATTTTCAGGTAAATAGTGATATCACATAGTTTTCATTTAAAATTTTGTCATTTCTCATTAGAATTCCTTCTGCCACTTTTGCAATAGAAGCTAATACTGCTAATGGAGGGAAAATGTCTACAACGCACACGATCATATTTCGTTAGTATGTCAGACCAGTTCTCGCGTTTGATTGCATGAATTTCTATACATCTCTCTTCTTGCCTTCTATTTAAAACTTCATTCATTCCAATGAGAATTTCAAAATGAAAACTATATGTGAGTGACTATAGTACTTTTAGATCACATTGTACCTACCTGAAAAATCGGATTCCTTCGTCTCTCGCTGAATTTTTTGTGCATTGTACAGTCGTCTTCAGCGAACATGTCGACCTCTTATTGCAGCAGTGATCAAGGGAGCTGACACCGTCCATGTGCGACATGATCTCTGAAGACGACTGTACAACAAACAGCACAATGTGATGGCATGCTCGAATCAATGAATAGCCGGAAAGCACGATTCGTGTTCCAAAATCATATCATCATGTGAATAAATTAAAAGTTAAAAAAAACACTTTTTGATAAAAAGCTTTTATTTAAACGCTCTAAATAGAAGAAAATAAAATGTTTCCTAATAATTTTAACTATCAACTTATAACCTCATTATACACAATTTATATGATCATAAAAGCTTGTCTCGCGATTCACTTGTGTGAATGCACTAGTACTTATTTAATTATGTAAAATCTGCTGAGAAAATTTTTAAAATTACAATTCAATTAAATATTGATCATCGCGACAAGCTTTTAAGATCATATAAATTGTGTATAATGAGGTTATAAGTTGATAGTTGAAATTATTAAGAAAAATTTTATTTTCTTCTTTTTAGAGCGTTTAAATAAAAGCTTTTTATTAAAAAGTTTTTTTTACTCTCAATTTATTTTTTAATTTTTAGTTATCGCTAGCTGGATTTTTCGATTTACTCTCAAGGAGCCTTTTCATTTGATACCCATATTGTAGAAGTATATTGAAAATGACCATTCCGCCATCTTGGATGGTCCGTCATAATGGATTTACAATGACGCCACATCATTTTTCGAGTTACTCTCAACGAGCCTTTTCATTTGATACCCATATTGTAGAAGTATATCAAAAATAGCTATTCCGCCATCTTGGATGGTCCTCCATATTGGATTTAGAATAACGTCAATTATTTTTCGAATTACTCTCAACGAGCCCTTTCATTTGATACCCATATTGTAGAAATAGATTAAAAATGACCATTCCGCCATCTTGGATGGTCCGCCATATTCGATTTAGAATGACGTCACATCATTTTTCGAGCTAATCTCAACGAGCCTTTTCATTTGATACCCATATTGTAAAAGTATATCGAAAATAGCTATTCCGCCATCTTGGATAGTCCGCCATATTGGATTTAGAATAACGTGACACACCTTATCTTGCATTGTCATCCAAACTGAACGTGTATACAAAATTTCAGCTCAATCGGTTGGAGATTTCTACTTCAAAATTGAGTTCAAAGATTCCACCCGAACATACATACATACATACATACATACATACATACATCCATACAAACATACAATGCAAGTTAAATAAAAGCTTTCACTATACTACTAAACTATATCAGTTTTCAATCCTATGTAAACAAATAAGAAAAGGGAGATTGTGTTTCAATGTTTTGCCTCCAGGGTCGGTCATCTGACAGATCTTGCACGCAACCCATATATTTTTCAAATTCCTGCCAAGATTTTCTTTCAAGTGCATAATTCCGAGTACTTACACAAATAAAGAAAGCAGGATACATAAAGAGGAAACTGTTTTTAATACAATGATAAAATTCACGATTCATTTATTTTATTTGAATTTGAGTAGGAACTGGAAGCTCATCAGTGCTGTGATAAAACATTACTATTCGCACTTTATCGAAATGATGGCATGCATGCTAAGAATGAAAAGGTAACTGCTTATTTACTTTTAAATTGTTAATTGTAACTAACTCCAATATCTTCATTCCTGGAATTTCAATCCATTAATATAAAATGGCTCAAGAATAAACCCATACCTGATGGAAGTTACTGCAAAAGGTAACTGCTTATTTACTTTTAAATTGTTAATTGTAACTAACTCCAATATCTTCATTCCTGGAATTTTAATTCATTAATATAAAATGGCTCAAGAATAAACCCATACCTGATGGAAGTTACTGCAAGTTACCTCAAATTCACGTCGTCGTTGAGAATGGATTGTTGAGCAATTCACATACATCCTCCTCGTATTAAAGTGCAAAATGGAACACCAGAATCAAACAAATGAGAGAACAACAACTAACAATCAAACAAGTTGCAATCGATTATGAGGAGCCGTTTCGGAAATTTCAACTCTCGCCTACTAACTATGTTTCCATTTAGAACGACAATATCACGTTATTCAGGGGACTTCAGAAAATGTGGGCACTGGGCATTCTTGTAGATGTGAACAGGGGCGGATCCAGGCGATGTTTGAGGGAGGGAGGCTAGCAAGTCACGGCTCATCCTCATTGAGGATAACAAAATAGATTCATTTTATTTTTTTTTGTTTTTTTTTGTGATTTTTCTCTGGGGACAAAGATGTATGATAGGTTGACTTATTACAAAATTAGTTAAAATATAGAATACATGTTCAATTGACAAGAGATATGTATTTAATGAATGATCTATTGTAACCAGTTGAGACGTCTTGAACTCCGTAGTTATGAATTCCTATTTGGGGTTAACCTCTTGTTGGTAAATAAGAATATAAGCGTCCCCACTGAGGAGAGAATTGAAGAGACAAGAGAATCATTGTACTCGTGTCAAATTTTAGTATATAGATGTCTGTAGTAGACTGTGTAGTGTCCGCGGCAGATGGTACCGACGGTACCGTAATGATACGAGATAGCGTTCAAATTTACATTTGTAAATCACATCACTATATTCTGAAAGCATACTAGATCAGAAGAAAAAACATTCTCGTTTTCCACTGGACTGAAAGTGTGCACTCACTGTATATCAATCCTTGAATAATGATAAGTGATGAATAAAGATAAAAGAATATCCAGTGAGGAAAAAGTTCTAGCTGCTAGTGCCAACTCATAATATCTCATGAGTCATTTCATTTGCATTTTGGTTTTCCATCATCGGATCATTAATAGCAGCGCTATGTCTTGAGGCGTTTATCATCAGTCAACCTGTATGGAGATTTTTTAAATAAATACATACTTGATATTGGATAAAAAAGCAAAAAAAATCTCTTTCAATTATAGATGGCTTTAAGAACATAATAGTTATTTATTATACAAACGGAAAAAGTAGTAGATTTTAGCTCCAGGTTGTGTTGTCTTCCGACACGTTGTGGCGGGAAACAAAAAACCGTGAGCTTAAATCTAATATTGTTTCCGTGTATAATACACTATTTTTTTCTGTGACAATATTACATTAACCCGGCGGTGACCGAATTGATGGTAATGTGGGTTGTAGGAAACCCCAGTATAAAAAATCGTTTTGAAATTCAGATATTCTTCATCTCGACTTCAAATATTATGTTTATGGTAGATACAGTATTGCCTGATAGAAAAAAAAACAATGAGACTTCAAAAATATTTACTGAAATAAAAATATCAGAAATAAGATAATACATAATGCTTCTTCGCGAATGCATATATTCTTCATCTCGACTTCAAATATTATGTTTATGGTAGATACAGTATTGCCTGATAGAAAAAAAAACAGTGAGACTTCAAAAATATTTACTGAAATAAAAATATCAGAAATAAGATAATACATAATGCTTCTTCGCGAATGCATATATTCTTCATCTCGACTTCAAATATTATGTTTATGGTAGATACAGTATTGCCTGATAGAAAAAAAAACAGTGAGACTTCAAAAATATTTACTGAAATAAAAATATCAGAAATAAGATAATACATAATGCTTCTTCGCGAATGCATATATTTGATGAGATGTAATATTGAAAAAAATAATCCCATTCATAGTTTACAAGAGAGTAATAGTTCCAATGAAAATAGGAAAGAAAAAACGATCACGAGAAAAATTCATCTATAAATGTCATGGTTCCTCGAAATAGATGAAAAGTGCATTAACCACATGAGTATTTGGTTTCTCGGTCTCGACTTCCTGAGCAGACACAACACTGTTCAGTTGCTTTAGGAGCCATTCCAGCCATTTCCGACATTTTCACATGAAACTTGCTTGGCAAATGTTGATTGTTATTACTGTGAATCAGTTGCTTGGTAATCCATCGCTATTTAAAAAAATCGTTGTTCTTTTTCATGACATTTTACGATTCTGTGGACCAAGACGATATTATGCAGTTTTCACATATTTATCGAGAATTCAAATGTAACAAAAGCGGTAAGGTGGGTGTAATACACCTTAGAGCACTTTACGCACATCGTCACTCGCACCTGAACTGAAAAAATACTGAAAGAACGACGGTAGACGATAGATAAATAACTGAAATTAAGCTATTAGGATGCACATGCAAATATCTTATCAGCTCGCGAAATTGTAGCTTCATAAACTTGGCTGGGGTTTCTCACACCCCACATTACCAACTCCGGGTTAAATTGAAATCAGAAAATTATCGACGTAAAATTTGAAGTTCTTAACAGGAATGACAACTGCGTTGCAGGCATTTTTTGCGGCCATCTCTATCAGTCTTGAAGGATAATTCTGTGATTTGATTTTCAAAAATTGCGAATTTAGTGGTTGTTCAGTAATTTACGTGACCGCGAAGTCGAATGGATGATACAAGGACTTGCAGTTCTTTCTCGGAGACGATGTTATTGGCTTATTTTTCGGAACTATAGCACAACAAAAGCCATCAATAGCCATATCCGGGAAAAAAGTACTAACTTTTTGTTGTGGGAAAAAGTAATTTATGAAAAGTGATAACCTGTCAACACTTATGAAATTTCGAACTTTTTTCTGTCACAGAAAAAACAGATTTTTTTCTGGTATCCAGAATACCTATATTTTCACATATTCATGAGGTTCTTAAGGGCGGGCATGGCCCATATGCCCCCCTACCTGGCTCCGCACCTGGATGTGAATATGACACATGAAAATAGTTTGGTGTTTTTCTGGTATATGCTTGGGTACTTACCCTCTATCAAAATCATGTTTCTTGGCAATGATAAAGTTGATATTCCAACAAACACATTCTTTGTCATCATCAACTGAATTGCAGTCAGACTGGATCTTGTCACGTGTAGTTATTTGATTGTCAAATCTTGAATTTCAGGAAGTACAGTACATGGATTCCAGCACCTCAACCGATACTTTCAGATCCTCTAGAATTCATTGTGAATTCAAAAGAAATTGTCAACTCGACTTACATAGAATATAATATTACCCTGAAAGGTACTTATTAATATAATTGTGTTTTCAGAATTAATAATCTTAGAACATTTTCAGGTCCTGATAGAATAAGCATATACATCGTTCCTCAAACTGATATGAGGATAGTCGATGTAATTCTGCTCAATACAACTACGAGTTTTAGCGCCAATCATGAAGATAAAGAGTTGATTTTCATTTTATTCACGTCAGGAAAAAATCCAGCAACTATGTCATTCACATTCGGCGTAGAGGTTCCAGAATATCATAATGATACGACTTGTAAAATAGCTGTAGCTGCAAACTATGTTCATTCTAAGAAAAATGCCAAAACTCCTTATTTTACTAAAATACTGGGTCAATTGCCCGAGTGGGCTGATGTGGTTGCTTACTTGGGCACTTATTCATTGTACAATGTATGATATTAAACAAATTGAATTTTAAATTCGTGCATTCAATTGAGGTGTGAACGAGTTGAATCATCAACACTTGCTATAATGATGCAACAGTTTTCTAGAGGCTGAAATTCCGATATTATGTAGTATTCAGGGTGTAAAGCAATAGCCTGCCGTCAGTCAGCCATTATCGTGAGCGAATAGCGCGGGGGCGGCTTCAAAGTCGTTATAAAACCATGTATGTCGCAACAGTTTTCTAAAATCTGAATATTGATTTCTTAATAGTGAATTATATGAAAATCGAAGCCGTGAGGGGACAGAAGGACGATCATGTATGTCGCAACAGTTTTCTAAAATCTGAATATTGATTTCTTAATAGTGAATTATATGAAAATCGAAGCCGTGAGGGGACAGAAGGAAGATCTAGCCTTCATAGCCATCTAGTCATTTTGTCCCCTCAGGGCTTCGGTATGTATAATACATGGAGGTACCCTTCGTGAATCGATTGTCAGCTGGCCAGTGCAACTGATGAGACTTATGGCAAGTCGAAACAGTCTGTCTTGCATCAGCTGACAATCGATTCACGAAATTTCCCTAGAATCTCTTGGTCTTGAGATTCTAGCTTTATCACCTTCTGTTAGTGAAACATTAAACATCTTTGAGAATTACAGGTGTTGCGATAGTCTACAGAATTCTGACATATGGTGTCTTTTCTGTAAGCATATAGTTGTAGGGGTCTATATGCACGACTTACTCGCAAGGTATGATTGTTGAATCTACCTATACCCCTTTGCACTTAACCTAGCCTTCATAGCCATCTAGTCACTTTGTCCTCTCAGGGCTTCGATATGTATAATACATGGAGGTACCCTTCGTGAATCGATTGTCAGCTGGCCAGTGCAACTGATGAGACTTATGGCAAGTCGAAACAGTCTGTCTTGCATCAGCTGACAATCGATTCACGAAATTTCCCTAGAATCTCTTGGTCTTGAGATTCTAGCTTTATCACCTTCTGTTAGTGAAACATTAAACAACTTTGAGAATTACAGGTGTTGCGATAGTCTACAGAATTCTGACATATGGTGTCTTTTCTGTAAGCATATAGTTGTAGGGGTCTATATGCACGACTTACTCGCAAGGTATGATTGTTGAATCTACCTATACCCCTTTGCACTTAACCTAGCCTTCATAGCCATCTAGTCATTTTGTCCTCTCAGGGCTTCGATATGTATAATACATGGAGGTACCCTTCGTGAATCGATTGTCAGCTGGCCAGTGCAACTGATGAGACTTATGGCAAGTCGAAACAGTCTGTCTTGCATCAGCTGACAATCGATTCACGAAATTTCCCTAGAATCTCTTGGTCTTGAGATTCTAGCTTTATCACCTTCTGTTAGTGAAACATTAAACAACTTTGAGAATTACAGGTGTTGCGATAGTCTACAGAATTCTGACATATGGTGTCTTTTCTGTAAGCATATAGTTGTAGGGGTCTATATGCACGACTTACTCGCAAGGTATGATTGTTGAATCTACCTATACCACTAGATGGCTATGAAGGCTAGATCGCCCTTCTGTCCCCTCAGGGCTTCGATTTGTATAATATATGGAGGTACCTTCGTGAATCGATCGTCAGCTGGCCACTGCAACTGATGAGACTTATGGCAAGTCGAAACAGTCTGTCTTGCATCAGCTGACAATCGATTCACGAAATTTCCCTAGAATCTCTTTGAGATTCTAGGTTTATCAATTATATGAAAAATTACGTGGATACCGCCAGTCTTCAAAATAAAAAAAGTAACGGGACGCGTCATAAGTCGTAATGAACTTTAGCATGAATAAATATTTAATCATCAAATAGCCGTCAATCAAATAGTCAGCCATTCTTGTAGAAGGATCATCATTTAAAAGGCAGTTTTGATGAAATGAATTGATGAATGAGCCCGCTTGACTCGAAAAGGAATCGGTCAGTCATCTGGATAAGAAATTTCGCATATGCAATATACCATGTGCCTATAAAAGTTTGATGTATTTTGAAGTTCAAATGTGGGTAAGTTCTTGCCCAGTTATGAAGTTTCTTTAGGTTTTTGGTGAATGATTTTTAGCTTTTTTAACGCATACGAATGCAAGTCTCGGACTGAAAAACCTACTACCAAGAAATAAAACCGACTGCACTGCACGAAGAAATGTGAATAATCGAATTCGATCGCGGGATACAGTAATTTCTCAACAAACACATTAATTCAGTTTTATACGTTTTATCGAACATATTTTTTTGTTTATACAATAAAATACGATTGACAGTATCCAATAACATTATAAATATAGAATTCGAATACTTCACCCTAGAATATTGGCAAAATGGTTTTAAACTTATTTTTATACACTTGCTCATAACTCAAATTACAAGGTTACAAAACATATTTTGTAATATTAATGGACAAATGATTTGGATAACAGAAGAACTCTTGTATTTTGTTACATTAATAGAATAGGTACGTATCCAATCATTATCATAATATTGTCTACACACCAAGAACGCTAAAAATTAGTTGGACATAATACATATCACATTTTCTGTCTCACTTGTGTAAAAATACACTTTCAGTTAACTTAGGCGAATGTTAAATGTAATGAATACAGCTAGAATGAAATTTAAATATAATAATTAATATCATTACTAATTAGGTTGAGAGCTGACTAAAACCAAGTCAAATGATTAATACATAAAAACACTGATGAACATAATAATTACAGGAAATGAAAAACAGGAGGAGGGCACATGTAGGCAGTGTGATGAAAAATTGAGGAGTGTGGTGGGGTATAATATAACCCCAATTTATAATTTTTCATGGTTTTCAATTTTCAAAATCATTAATAATATTTTTCTTCATATCAATATCGACTCATAGTTCCATTAGATCTGCAGGAAAATATACAAGGAATGTATTTATGCAAAATCTCTATTCGATTCATTTTGTGTTGTTCATAGTTCATGTTATTTATCGGTTTTCATTGCTTTCCAACTGTCACAGCGAGTAAATCCTGAATAAATTAATGGACATCGTTTCCATTACCATTATTAGTTAATTACTTATTGGGGCTACTAGCTGTTGCCCATCATTTCCCTCCAAATCATCCTTCACATCAGCTATCCATCAATGTGACTATCGTTTTCAATAATGAAGATGATGGAAAGCCTTAATTTCGAGTGATAATGGAAAATGAACTCCACCGCCCCGCGTGAGAGTCGAACTCAAAAACCTCTGAGTTACATGCCCAACGCTCTGCCAATTGAGCTAACGGGACTTCCGTCGAACAATCCCCGAAGTCACTCGAAATCATGTACTATATGAAGTATCGCTGGCAGGATGGTACTAGAGTCACTGGATGGTATTAGTTTGATAAGAGTTCGGACACAGAAATGACAACGGTTTGGGTTTTTGAATGTTCAGATTTATTAAGTTACACACCTTGCATTGTGACAAGAGCACCATAGTCGTCCCGCGCTTTTTCATTCAAAATTGTTTGAATTTGACAATTAATCTTATATACGTCAGAATTGAAATAAAATTTCATGATCATACTTTCAAGAAAAAAGCAGTTATCGAAATTACTTGCTGTGTAACGAATTGTGCCAATTCTGAAAAAAATTGATATCATTTATTCAATTTTCCAAAAAAAAAACCAATCATTAGCTTATGAAAGGAAGATATGGGTGGAAAATCAATTTGAAGACGAGCAAAATTTGTGAGGTACTCATTAAAATTCCCTTATTATAACAGCATCTGATTATAATGATTTTAGGCCCATTTTCAAACAGAAGATTTCAAAATCTGTTTGAGAGAATCTGCTGTTACACCAATTCACAAAGCAGAAGAATATTATAAGGAATTCAAGCGAGTCAAAGTGGGATTGAGAAGTTAGCGAATTTCTTATTATGAATGCAAAACTCTATGTTTCCAGTATTCACAGTTTCAGAAGGTATATTATGTTCTCACATATCTATTATACCTACTTTCGGGTATTTATGTGAACATGAAACCAATGAGAATAGTTCTTTATGTATCAAGGGAATTATTATAAGGGCCTTAATTACGCTGGAGGGTATCGATTTGGAGATATTTACAATTTTCTATATCGATCCATGTTACTTAGCTCATAGGGCGCTAAATGAAGTTGCTGACAACTTTACAAAACCAAGTATGTGGTAGGTCTCGTCAAACAACTTTTTTTCAATGAATTTTTTTTCGAAAAATGATTTGTTCTCTGTATTTCAACACTCTTTATCTCCGAAATGAAGCATTTCCGGACACAAGCTTATATAGACTTTATTTCTTGAAATTTTCTCAGGATTACTTCACTTGATCGTACTTATGTCACTTCCTTTATATTGATAGAATGCCTACCTTAGATTGCATATAGATATATTCATGTTTTATGCTTATCACTGGAATGAGTACATTTTCACAAGTAAAAGAATATCCATATGTGTATATTTTCTAACATTTGAACATGCATTCTTTTCATAACTGTTGTTCTGCTAGAGGTGTATCACTACAAATTGAAGTGGGTGTTTGTACCCTATTTTCATTGTCCATCTACGGCTATGATTGATTTGACAGAAAATATAACCTCTAAAATCGTATCTGACAATCAGGCGCTACTAGGGAAATTGAAAAGACAAAGAGCAGAATATATGTCTTATTCTTTTATTCACTTAAACCATTGTATTATAGAAAATAGAAAAGGACAAAAGTTCAGCTGTGTCCGAACTCTTATCAAACTAATACCATCCAGTGACTCTAGATGGTACTATACAGTCTCCATTTTTCCACGTTCGTCCTCCGGCATTGTCTTTCCTTGTATACGAAAATGTCCGCAAGCAATCTATACATCACTCACTCGCTCACTCCTATGTACTATCGTTTTTGTCAAGTATTTTGTTTGGCATAGAACACCTCTAATTGTGAGATCGACCGTTGTCGCTTCTTATATGAAGTGAGTGATATCTATACCTTCCTTGTTTACATGTAAAAATTATGTCTACTGGGGTATCTTAAACCCTACCACACTGCCTCCAGGTTCAAATGAAAATTAATTGACCGAAAGGTGGAAGAACTATCAAAAAAATATTCAACGAAATATTTATAATTTTCTACCATACCACCTGAAAGAATCCGGTAAAGAGGTTGCAACTAGCGCATATTACGATGATTAATTTCCAATTCAATGGAATGCCCTCTTCCTGTTTATATAAGGGATATTTCCTCCACATTACCGTCTTGATTAAAGTTGATAATCCAATTTCATTGTGTTTAACCGTGACGTCATTTCCGTTTGGGTACACCTCCCCTACCTGCCCTAGGGTTTAGCAACTCCATAGTTGGTAAAGGTGGTTAAAGTTAAACTTGAATATTTGTTTACAAATGATGAATGTGAAAATTGGAGGATACAATGGGAACATTCAAATTAAAAATGAATGGAGTGGATATCGGAGTAAAGATACATGGGTAAACTGTGGTAGTGGGTCAAAAATAGTTAATGTTGACGTCATTATGACGTAGTTACCTCCCACCACCTTCACCGAAATACTCTAACCAGGTTTAACGGGGAATGTGAATGAAATATCCCTATAGGCTCTGTAATTTTTTGAGCGTTTACACTTTGCAGTTTGCAAAGCACATTCAAAATACCGAAATCTGTGAGTGGTGGGTGTGCGAAACATCATCGTCCATTGTCAGTAACACCATAAAAGTGAAAAACATACCGATGGCACTCAAGAAGTGCCAAATGTCATGAAAATCGTAAAACCGCAACAGCTTACACTCCATGTTATACTGCCTTGACTGAGCAGCAGTTTTCTGCAAACAAGTTTTTGTTAATGAGGATTTAACATGAGACTAACATTTTCACGCTCACCAGTTGGCGCTACTGGAGTGTGAGGTATATATATGATATGCCCTCAGAAGCGTGTTGTTATCGAAAATTCGTAGAAACAGTAGATTCAAACAAATTAGTGTAGAGGGGAACGATGCAAAATCCTCTTCCTTACAGACTTTTTTTTTCGTAGTAGAAAGATATAGGACCTCTACCATCTTGAATTTAAATGATTATTACATAATATTCCTGCTTTTACTACTTTTTTCTATGGTACCGAGAAAAGTTATGAGCGACTAAACTCGAATTTTAGAATAAAATAGAAAATATATAAACTTTTGTAACTCCGCAATTATAGCACTTATACAGGGTGGCATTGAAATAAGTGCAAATATTTGACCGAGAAAGCTCGACGTGTACTATCGAATGGCACTTATAAAAAAATGTAGGGATCAGCATGGAGTTTAAGGTTAGATCCTTTTTTCCACCCAAAGTTCTACACTGTAGCAAATCTGACGTCACCTCTGATCAAATTTCCATGCGGTAGGCACAGTCATGCAGAGTTCAATCATTTGAATTGTTTTAAAGTGGCGTACTCGATTTTTTTTCCGTATTTTGTTCAATTTTGGGATGAAATTTCTCGCTAATTAGGAGAATTAGAAAAAATCTGATATCATGGTAATATTCCTTAGACTGTATCATATTAATGTGCTGAATATTTGCACTTATTTCAAAAACACCTTGTATACGCAGTCTTTTCATTATATAATTAAGGAGCACCTCATAAGTGCAATTTTTCAATAATTTCGTTCAGGATAGTGATTGGCACAGGTGTCGTTCTATAAAATACGTTTTTACATGCCTTTGGAACATATTATAACATTTCGTTATCAGATGTCGAAATTTGCGGCCGACTCCCTTACTAATATCTTTTATTGTAAGTATAGAGGGCATTGAATAAAAAGAAGTACGCGATGGTAGAAGTCCATAGTGCCTTGAAGTGGTGAATTGGTGATGATAAAGCAAGTAAACTCAAAACCATCAACCACAATTTTATTTTAGGTCCAAAGGACGTCGTTGAAAATAAAATTGTGGAGATATTTTTCTAGTTCACTAGCTGTGTCAGAAGAAATATACCTCACGTCTCAGTAGCTCCATCTGGTGGCCAATCGAAGCTTATTGTTAGCCGTTATTACTTTGAATTCTTTCGGTACTGGTACAGAATACTCTACTCTCACAGAAAGGAAGGCAAGAGTTTCAGCCAGAACCAATCAATGTGCAGACTCCAGCAACATTTTATTAGTGGTTCAACCTCGTATTTTCATCTGAATGGCGCTTGTTTTGCATCTCTGAGCCTATCGTTTTTGAATAGTTTGTTGTGTATATAGAGTATTCTGTGTTACCGGACTACGAAGTTTGGTCTATTCATTTGAAATTCGTCAAAAAAAGCTTTTACTTAAGGGCCGGCTGTATTGAAAAGTTATTAGATTTTTGTTTATACCCATGACAACGTATGCTTAGATGATGAGTTATGCTGGGTACAGATGACAGCTTTTCGCATTTCAGCTTGTAGCGCTTTGGTAATGACCGAAAGTTCGTTTCAACTGTTTCAAGGTCAATATGCGAAAAATGATCAAACACCATTTTATAGAAAAAAGATATTTCTCCAGTATAACCTTGAACTAGATATATATATATATATATATATATATATATATATTTCATTAGGCACCCATAATATAATTTGAATAAATGTATCAATAAGACAATATAATTGAAAAGGAATATTCTCAGATATAGTTATGAACATAAAAAATGGATATATTTATATAAAGAAATTCATTGAAAATTCGCATTCTCTATGTGATAAAAATATCAATTCTTTCTCGGTTTATTCAACAGAAAACAACTACTTTCATACACGATGAGAATCTCAAAAGAAAATCTGAAGTAGAGAATTTGCATTCTCCTTCGTATAAAGATATGCACATATTCTAAATATTCAACAGAAAACAACTACAACAACAACTTTCCTGGTTATTTGCCACGTCGAACATTGAATTATATCTGTTGAACATCCAAAAAGAGAGCATGAAGAAATCGAGAATTCAAATCTGACGAAATAATATGATGTATTATGATACAAAAATATAACTTACCAATATGTTCAGTATTGAAATAAAAATTAAAATGTATATGAGAAGTATACTTGTCATAAACTCTGATCTTGATGAGCTGGGAACTTCAAAAAAAAAATCAGTCCTATCAGTGATATGGGAATTATATCTTTCACAAACAGGTTATATGACTTCACTCGAATAAATTCATTTCGGATATCAAATCCTCAGTCCTGAAGTCCAGTTATTCTTTCAGCCATTCCTCTTGATATACACAATTTTAATCTCTCTATAATATAACTAATCTTATCATTATTGAATATATGCATCATCAAAGGGACACTTCAGGTCCCGAAAGAAGGAAAACACATCCTTGTAAGTCTAGTTCAACTTCATAATAAGATTCGAAACGCATTTTGAAAATCAAGAAATTGTCCATCGTTCTCGCCATCTATCATGGAATATGAGAACCCCACGTTCAGAGCTCGCATTCAATTGTTCATATCGGGAGCTAGTCTAACGAAACAATTGAAGATTGGGCACACCAGAGGAATTATAAACATCTCAAAACAAACAGTAAATGCTAGCGTTGCTATGGTAACGTATTTTATCCGATTTTTTATCCACTCTTCCTTTCTATTTGAGTGGAATGGTCGTTTAACTCATGCGGATAAGTTACTTAACCGCACTAGTGCTGAAATAGTATATTGTTTAACGAGCTCGGAATGATAGGGATTTCCTACGAGAATGAAGTTTGCAGCAAGAGCCATAGGCGAATGCTGCAATCATTCGAGTATTAAATTAGCATTCCGTGCAAGTTATGCACTATAATTTTTCTACGGCTATAATAGATAACAGCGCCATTTTTGATTTCTTCGTCTTGTAGCCATCTGATTTCCTGTCAAGTAATGCTCATCTATTAGACAGAACTGTCATTGCTTTACATTATTTGACATTCCATGAGCGATGAGATATTTTTGAAATAATAACACAATGGAGTCAGTTTGTAGTATCATTATAAATTTTTTTTTATAAATAATATGGACAAAAACACTCCTAGGAAAAACATTGTAGCTACCTAACAATCGCATAAGAGTACAACTCTCTGCACCTATCAGGCAAATAACTAACTATATGGCATCAAGTATTTAATGTACCGATATCTTAGATCATATTCATATTTCAACTATTTTTCGTAATTCAGCCAATGAAAGTAATCTGAATCTATGCATCAAGGGATACAAATTATAATTTGTATTAGACCAAACTCTTCGGGAATTCAAACTTCCAATGATCTCATATATTTGCAATGAAATAGTGATTGAAACGAACGGCTATAGTTTCATTATCTCTCAACAATATTTGACTACTTTTTCAATTTTCCACATTCACTTGGGATTGTTTTTGTAATCAATTTCATTAAAATAGTATTGTTGTTTTTTAGATTTTATTTGATTGACCACTTTGTTTTTTAAAGGCCTTCCATTTATTCTCTTTCAGCACCATATCACTAGCCTTGAATATTTTATAAGCTCTGTCCCTATTTTTCATTTCATCATACACCTCATTGTGAAACCATGGCAGTAAAACTTTGAATGTGCACAATCCGCGCTATATTTGTCATTTTTCCGCTGTATGTTATAAAGCTGTCATCTGTACCCACTATTATGAGAGTTGACTCCTCGTCAAGTTAACAGAGATGTTTCAATGTTTATGCAACCGGCCTCTAGGCTTCTGTTCTGATCATATACGTATTAACTAACAATATGGATAACAACGAGTGCCAGGTTGAAGCTAAAATCATGAAACAAATGATTATCCCCAAGCTTTTGAATCAAAGGAGTATGTGTTTTATCGTTTCATACGGTCATGACATTCTGTATTTCCATCTAAATTGCATCCCTGTCTGAACTACCTACTTGAAAATTGAACTGCATCATTACATATTCAACATAAAATAGTCATCCTAGCCCATTTGAAAATGTGGTTATATTGGAGTAGTAGTTGAAATAAAATGAATGTTAACATGTGGATAATTATTGATGTCCATTTTCATGCACCATAATCAAAAGGTAAAGTATTAATAGATTATTTTTGCATAATATCCTACTTCCAAACTACTTGGTAAGTGTACCTGATAACCAATGAGGTGATAACCATACTGATGACTAGTATTAACAAAGAAATACTTACTCTTATTGCAACATTTTCAATGGATGAATAAAATGAACAATCATATTTTGAGATATACTGAAAAAGAAAACTGGAATATGTGCATAAATATCCATAAATGTCATGTCAAAGATTAAGAGGTTAGATGTCACGATGATGTGTCTTTCATATGAACTTGCGCATTTGAGCATGTGTAGTATATCACCATATATCTTCAAAAAAATTCCCCCTTTCGCGCTATGGAAACAGATAAATATTATCCATATTGTTCATTAATACATATATGGTTCTGATGTCCATAGTGAATATGTTACATCATTATCTATCATAATATACAGCGTGTGTGATTCAAGACCGTACATCCACGTATTTTGAAACGCGTCGGGCCATAAAGAAACTTGTTAACGACGAAATAGCATTTTCTGCATTCTTCGTTCCTTGTATGAGTAACTGTTGATTGTACGATTTTTTTTTACCTGAAGAAGTTGCTGTGTTAGCCTCAGTTGAACATTTATGAAATAACAAGAGTATCATTTTAATTACTGTCTGTAGGTTGATCCTTTCGTTTCTATAATATGAAAATATGAATATCATTTCAATATATCAGATGATTTGCCCCAAAATGTCACTGCGTTTAAAGAAGTTTTCTATCAGAGGGCCTAAAAGAAAATAGCATTGCTTCCTGTTCAGTTGATATAGATAGAACATGGTATTCACTACTGAAATCTGAAAATGAAAATGGTAATTTCAAGATTAATTAATAGACACATCCTGTAACTCATTTGATTCCCAACGTCACCAGTTGTCACTGAGAACTGAGAAGTATCAAGACGAATACGAATTTGCTATACAAATATCCATTTTTTATGTTAAAAACGGGAGCAGATTCGTTTCCGAAACGTCCGAAGCTAAGTGAAAATTTGATATTTTCTCTATATACCTTCATTTCTCTTCCCCAAACCTTTTTCAATACAAATTGTCACGGACAAGCTGGTGGTCTTTCAGGCTCTCTGATATGAAAATTCTTTCAAAGCAGTGACATTTTGAGGCAAATCATTAGGTTTGTCCTTGCTACACGTATATTGAAATAAGATTCATATTTTTATTTTATAGAAACGAGGATAGAAAATCCCAAAAAATCTGGAATTATCATCTCAAGTTCAAATTTTGTATCAATTTACTCTTCAGATGGAAATGAAGCCTAATAGTCAACGTCGAAATTTCAGCGTAGTAGGTTTTTCATTTAGATGACAAATGACTAGCGTTTTTGACATATAGGAAGGACCAACATTCAGTCGCCCGAATAATTTTTGTATCTTATGAAATCGAAGTAATATTTTGAATTTTCCTTGAACAGTCTTCCACACTTCCCTCTCAAGTTTCAACAAATATAAGTCACTTGAACTATAATTCGCACAAGGAATGACAAGGGACAGCATGCATCTATTTTGAAAACAGAAATAAACAAATCAATAAGGAACGCCCATGGCGTTTGAGGGTTGATGAAATGTCCACATACCGTCATTTTTTAAATGAACAATCTAAGTTTGTGACTTCGACTTTCAACTTACGCATTATTCAATTAGCATGCGCTTTACAAAATCATCTGAATGAAAAGCCTTATTGTATAATAACTTTTCCACATGGTCGAATAATAGAAGTGAATAGAATGGCCTTATATTTTCTACGAAAGATGTTGAGGTTTCAAATCGCACACACTACTACTCCCCTTTTAATTTTCCAACTTACCGACCAAGAAATGGCTTTGTGTAAAAAGAAGTACATGGCTGAAATAGCACATATAGTCGAGAAGAACAAGTAGATCCATGTCGCTATTCTAACTCGCTCTCCATTAAAATGCTAAAAAAATATATAATGCGATCTAATATCATGGCGATCTTTGAGAAAATTATGGAATTGAGTTGATATTGACCGGACAGAATATATTTCCAATTTTTTTACTAGCTATAAGTATCCCGAATTTCGGGAGATTTGTTAATAGGCAAGTGGACTATTTTTTAAATATCTTAAATAGAATCATCACTCAAATACCTTTCAATTTCATATATTTAAATAGAATCATCACTCAAATACCTTTCAATTTCATATATTTTTTTAATTTTTCGGTCGATTTTGAAGTGCCAAAATCATCAATAATGCCACGGTAACTTTCAAACGCCTAGAAAGGACCCCGCACGAAAACACGGGAAATTGGCTCTCGGTCGAATTGGCTGAAATTTGACTATGTTGTTGTGGAATGACTCATTAAAAAAATATGCGAGTTTAAAAAGTTTTGTATGTTTAGTTTCTGAGATGTAAGCCGACAAAGTTCGTGAAAACGTCGTATCGGGATGGATTGACAAAGAAAAAAACTGTTTTTTTACTATAAATAAATCAAAATAACCTAGAAAATGTATTGATCGGAACTCATAAACATGTCTAGTCATTTTTCGGAAAAAAAATTCGAGCACTATTCCAAAACCAACAAGTTATATTTTGGTGAGATATTATAGTTTTAGTCTATTGTAGGCTTCGAAAACGTATTTTGATTCTTGATAACTATCTCTGTTCGAAATATGAATTTTTAGAATTTTGTGTTATACCCTTTTTTGAAAACAATTGAAAGCTTGTTTTTGATCACAAAGAAAGGGATTGATTGATACTGTTGATTGAATGAAAGCTGACGAAACTCACTAGCGAATTCAGTTGTTCAATATTGCCTTTCATTTAGATACAGGGTGTGTTAGATTTTGTTGAAGATTATTAAACATGTTTCAATTGAATATCTCGAAAACAGTTCCGTTAATTTGGATCTCATTTTACACACACTACCTATTGTTAATATGTTGACTATCATATGCAAAAAGTTTTTCAATTTTATATGTTTCGTTTCTGAGGTATGCATTTTTGGGTCTACAGTATTACAGGTATTATAGTGTTATTACCTAGGATATAACTATCAAAAATTGATATCTCAGAAACAAAACATAAAAAATTGAAAAACTTTTTGCATATGATAGTCAACATATTCCAAATAGTGTGTGTGTAAAATGAGATCCAAATTAACGGAACTATTTTCGAGATATTCAATTGAAACATGTTGAATAATCTTCAACATAATCTAACACACCCTGTATCTAAACGAAAGGCAATATTGAACAACTGAATTCGCTCGTGGATTCTCAGCTTTAATTCAATCAACAGTATCAATCAATCCCTTTCTTATTTGTGATCAAAAACAAGCTTTCAATTGTTTTCAAAAAGGGGTATAACACAAAATTCAAAGAATTCATATTTCGAACAGAGATAGTTATCAAGAATCAAAATACGTTTTCGAAGCCTACAATAGACGTCAACTATAATGTCTCACCAAAATATAACTGGAATAGTGCTCGAATTTTTTTTTTCCGAAAAATGAATTTTTGACCATGCCTCGTATATACCCTGATATACTTTAATTCATGTGATCATAACAAGACATAATTATATATTTGAGTTGCGATCAATACATGTTCTAGCTAATTTTGTCTTATTTATACTAAAAAAACAGTTTTTTTCATCGTCAATCCAACCCCGATACGACGTTTTTACGAACTTTGTAGGCTTGTATTTCAGAAACTAAACATACAAAACTTTTCAAACTCACATATTCTTCTTATGAGCCATCCAACAATAACATAGTTAAATTTCAGCCAATTCGACCGAGAGCCAATTTACCGTGTTTTCGTGCGGGGTCCTTTACCGCGATTTTGGGAACTTCAGAAATATTAGTTATTCAATAAAACATAAATTCTCAATTATAATTGGTGACATGGCAATCCTGCTTCACGAGTGGGAATGGAAGATTATCTGGCAAATAACGAAACAGCATAAAAACTGACGTCACCATTTATTCGCCAAATGACGGCCATAACGGTACGTTCGAAATGAGCTCTGAAATTCAACAATTTCAAACAACGCATATTAATTAATTTAGGCCCCTAACAAGACAGTGGAGTAATTGAATGCCAATAATTCATTATCAGTCCACTCGCCCATTATATCGTGTACTACAACCGTTTTATAAAAGTTTCAGGTAATTTCTTTCAGTTCAGACTGATGACGGGCAATTCTTTATTAGCAAAAACGTCATAAATTTCGGTTTATCCTATATTCAGTCCAGTTTTCGCGTTTTCAATAATTCCAGAAACAAGATTTCACTTTCGATAATTTGAAGGACATTTGAGATGAATCACTTACTTTCATAATAATATAGAAGAAGAAATAAAGCAGCGTGTTGGCCATGAATATTGCTAATAGGAAAACAGCAAAATTCTTTGGATGATAATATAATGCAAAGGCTGCAAGTGTCCAGTTGCATATGTTACCCAAGGACAAAAGGATAAATCGTGCTGAAAAAGAGAAAATCGAATCAAACTTTTTCGTTCTCCACCCTTGAAGTTGTGCTTCTAAAGGAATTATATGAATCAATTAACTCAAGTGAACTAAGAATAAACAATCAAACTAGAAATCTTTGAGAGCTGATTGGTCCATTTGAATTATTCAACCATTGATTATCTTTAGATTCTCCATTTGATTCGTTAATTTTAATTCTACTTGAGTTTATCAACTCACTATTATATCATTTGCTTCAAATATATCTACCTCAATAACTTCAATATGAGATTAGCTATATCAATGAAAATTCCACACCAGTGATTTTTATACAGTTAAATTGGGGTTTTATGACAAATTACCATAGCAACGTATGTATTTTAGTGGAATTTTTTTTCTCGTGGGTACCCACCAGCGTATGAAATCGGAAATTTTTTATGACGTTTTAATGACAGAATAATATTTTGACGTCCTAAAATAGTGATTTTTGTGCCACTTCAATTGGGTAGAAATCAACAATTAATAGGCTCCAGTAAGCAGATTACTTACTTACAGGTACGCACTGATGAATAAATTATCTTGCACGAAATACAAATCATTCCTTCTTTGGTATATATACACGTGCACACAGCCCAGCAACCCTCAAACACGATAAGAGCAGCAACTTGTAACTAATTGTTTAATGATATATTAGTTAGAAAAAAAATCACCTCCTGCCACCTGTGGCATAATGATGTGAGAAAAAAAAGTGCCCCAAAACAACGTACCATAAATTCTACATGGTGAACTAGAGACCTGAATAGGCCGATCGAAATCTATAGGAAAACTAGCTGACCCGGCAAACGTTGTTTTGCCATAACATTATTTCTAGAAAAAATGTTTTTCTCCGATTGGCAGCAAATATTAATTTTGCTGACACATATCAATCAGCAAAGTATTACTTTTCCTGCCTAGGCAGCAAAGTGATTATACTCAATGGGAATGAAACATTTGACGTAAACATTTATTAGCAATTATTACATAACACTTTTAACATTTTTCTCCATGCAATAATCCATAAATCGTTTATAATTTCCTTCATATTTCATCCGAGACTTCTCCGGCAACAAATTCAACTCTATATTTTTTGCCACCACCCTTATTTCTGGAGGAGTAAGTACTTCCAGGTCGCTATCACTGTCCATTATATAATAATTTAAATATATCGATATTTTTTCGCACAACTGTGAGAAATTTCATGAATTGTCAAACTATAATTATTATGGACATTTCCATAGCAACCAACCATTCCAACAACTGCGATTTCTATCAAATTTTATTTTAATCGAACACTACAGGAAAAATAGAGAGATTGTGGGAATTGTAATAATTTGCAAATACAATTATTATGTTACAATCTGAGAAAAAATTATATGTTCAACTCGGCATCAAAGTAGATTGACTGCCTTAGCTGAAATCTACTACTTTGCTGCCTAGTTAAACAAATAACTATTGTTTACAAACGTTCCATTTTGTCTCTGTTATTACGAAAGTGTCAAACTCGTTTTTTTGGTGAAAAAATCTGTCATGTTACTTTTTCTTAAAAAACACCTATTTATTTTGTTAGTAGGTACTGCTAATCCTTTCAGGAAAGGGCCTAAATTATTAAATATTTTATTAAAACAAAACACGTGAAATTAAATGATAATAAAAAGCATTTTGGCTTTTTCTTAATTGAATATTAATAGTATGTTCCACTATATTCTACCACAGAATACCCAACCACAGTATATTATCCTTTCGTGACCCAACAATCAGAATAGCATATCTCGCGCATGAGTGGTTGTCGGCCATCTTCCTGGGTTACTTGTTTACATGTTCAACGAGTTCTGAGCTGTGGAATAATCGTATGAAATGATCGTATGAAATATTCAGATATTCAAGTACATATTCTATTTCTGCTGTGTTGTTGTTTGGGTTGTACTGTTCGACAATAGTTTTGGTGCCTTCCTAATTTGGTTGTGAATAAGAAGCCATTTATAGATTCTTTATCTACTTCATCTGTAATTATAGACATGAGTGCTCAAAAAAATTTAGAGGTGGTCATGTGTGCGCTGCTATAGGTTGTAAAAACAATTCTAAGACTTGGTTGTATTCCTCATATGATCAGAGTCATTTGAATGAAGATACCCAGTTTACCTATTGACCAAGCAGAACTGCAATTGAGAAAAAATGAGTTTTATTTTTCTAAAAAACAACTAGCAAAAATAATCTAATGGAAACCTGGCCAAATCTATCAATTTAAATATTTGTCAATTTTTGTGTTCAAATCTGTCCTACTGAGAATAAAATTTAGCTTATGTAAACTACGAATTTTAGAGCAGTACCATTCAAGAATTTTGAAATATTTCAAGACAATCTGGAAATAAAATTAATCTTCAGTGCCCTCTCATGGCTCAACGGTGCATTTTCATATAGAGGTAAGTTGATTTCGATCGACCTATTCAGGTCAGTAGTTCACCAGGGAGAATTTATGATACATTGTTCTGGAACACTTTCACATCATTAGGTCCATGGCAGGAGTACATTGTTCTACGAGACAGGTGGCAGGTGACTTTTTTATGTTCGTCATTTACTCGTTTTTTCTAACATTGATTAGCTGCTGATAAGCGCTGTCCCGCGATTGAGGTGGCAGGAGTGGATTTTGTTGATAAACTTAATTATTGTTAATTACAACAGTTAAAAGAAGAACCAAGCTTCATCAAATAAGACATTGGAAAATGCCGCTGACTCCCGGGCTATTATTTCTTTTTAGTATATCGATTTTTCGTATACATTTTGAAAGTGGTATGACGAAATCAAATATAATGGGAGAGAAAAATGTTTGCTTACCTTTATGGCAAGGTCTCAAAACATTTAGTGGACCAGCCCGGAAATCATGTATCCATACTTGTTTGAATCTTTGAAGAGAAACATCTCCTAAAATATAAATATTACACTCATAAAAACTAGCATGGATCACTATCGAAAAAACTGAAAACTAAGTTTTCGACATAATGTACAGTGTGTCCCACTTACCATGCTCACCATGGGTATCTTTTTAACGGTGAGAGATACGAGGTCGGTTAAATGACACCAAATGTGGAGTTTGTCAAAACCAACTATAATGTGAACAAATATTTTGATTAAATCTATTCGTTTTTGTTTTATACGCAAAAAACAGATTTTGATCATTTTCATGTCTCCTCCGTAACTTCTTTATTTATGAAAATATTCAAATAGGAATTTCACATTCTCATGGCAGTTTTCCAAAGTGATTTCGAAAAAAATATGAAATTTATACCAACTCATCTAGAATTTGAGATATCAGCACCAACTTTAGTTTTTCAAATGTAGGTTATAGCTCACTATAACTTAGTAACAAATAACTTTTTTTTCTCTCACAGATGATATGTCGCAGTAATAGTTTTGTGTCCATAACAACGGAGTTATCGTCATTTATACAAAAACAAAAAATTATTTGGAAGCCGCCATCTTGAATTTATAAATGTTAACAAAAAAATCATGATCTCCGACCTCAAAAACCCCCACCCACCAATTTTGAATGAAATCGGACCAAATCTTGTCCGCCATCTTGGAGCAGCCATTTTTTTAAATTTCAACGAGAATTCCATAACTCCGATTAACTTGAAATTTCGCAGGCGTTCATGATTTCGGTGACAATACATAATGGAATTTTTGTTGAAATTAAAAAAAATGGCTGCTCCAAGATGGCGGACAAGATTTGGTCCGATTCCTTTCAAAATTGGTGAGTGAGGGTTTTTGAGGTCGGAGATCATGATTTTTTTGTTAAAATATATAAATTCAAGATGTCGGCCTTCAAATAATTTTTTTGTTTTTGTATAAATGACGATAACTCCGCTGTTATCAACACAAAACTATTACTGCGACATATCATCTGTGAGAGAAAAAAAAGTTATTTGTAACTAAGTCATAGTGAGCTATGACCTACATTTGAAAAACTAAAGTTGGTGCTGATATCTCGAATTCTAGAAGAGTTGGTATAAATTTCATATTTTTTTCGAAATCACTTTGGAAAACTGCCATGAGAATGTGAAATTCCTATTTGAATATTTTCATAAATAAAGAAGTTACGGAGGAGACATGAAAATGATCAAAATCTGTTTTTTGCGTATAAAACAAAAACGAATAGATTTTATCAAAATATTTGTTCACATTATAGTTGGTTTTGACAAACTCCACATTTGGTGTCATTTAACCGACCTCGTATCTCTCACCGTTAAAAAGATACCCGTGGTGAGCATGGTAAGTGGGACACACTGTATAAATAAACAACTGAAAGTTACCGTAAGCTGCTTTTTGAGCAGATAATTAGTTTGAATTTGATACACTATCTGAGTGGCACTCGAAAGATGGGACGAGATTATCAGAGTTTATACAGAATATATTGTTCTCCAGGTGTATTTACGATGCGGAATACTGTCTATAGTAATATCTCTCTGAACGACTGTTGAACGACGTCTGTTCTCAGAAAACCATACCGTTTCAATGAAACGCTTGTTGTTTACTTTGCGTGATGATGACGTAGACGCCAAAAAACGGTGACGTAAACTCACTCATCGGCAAAATAATCGATCCACTCAAAATATCAATCAAGCCCGCTTCGATTATTCTTCTCATTATAGGATAGGTGAATTGAATTCATAAGGACTCTGGCAGAGGTTTAAACTCTTAGATTCAGGCATTTGCCCTTATAATTTATAACATTATATTGATAATTCTATTGACATATTTCTTTTATTTCCCAACACCGATCTTTGAGATGCATAGATCATATTTGGTTATTGATCTCAATGAAGAAGAGTACTTGGTTTTCAAGGTTAGTCATTTTTTGCCATTTCTAATAATTATTTTCGCTTGAAAAATGTCAGTCCTCATTTTATATTTCATCTTCTACCTGATTCTTACTTTGCTGGGTATTTCTTCACCATTTTGTTTCTTGCGGCTCTTGATGTATAGGAGAATTGATTAAATAAAAACCATTCATTCATATAATTCTCATTTTGCAAAGATTAATTTCACTAGTGAACTGACTATTTAAGTAATAATTATTCAATTACCATGTTACTTATACATAATGTATATGTTTTCACTATAACAAAACTGAAACAAGTTTTCCTTCGTAGATACACCTTCTGGCTGTGAACTGATGATAACCATTTGGATGATGGAAACAAATCTCAACAAATCATTATGATCAACTGAATTTTGTCAAATTGAATTTGTAAATTTCATCATTTCATTTGCATCAAGTGTCGAATTTCAATCCATTTTCCCTTTTATCTGGGGAGTTACAGTAAAAAAAAAGTTATTTCAAATTTTTTCGCCAAGTTTGACACTCAAGAACCTATCTATGACTAAAACTTATTCAGAATCATAAGTTATCTCTATTGGGAACCCTATAGTACCAGTGAGAACTAACAAGCAATAGTCCGAAGTAAACGATTAGCGGCACTTTCAATCATACATTAGTAATGAAGTGAAAATAAATGGCACTCACTCATTCTCCAACAACCCATATAGTATATCTTAATACTAAGGTAGAAACACATCATTATGTATAAAATAACGAAGAATATCCAGAAATAAGTGGTCCCTTCTAAAATACCAATCATACCTAAAAGAACAATATTCATCTTTTAGTAAAGTGGATCTGAATTAAGGTTAATTATGAACTTACCTAACAGAACGGCCACAGCAAGGACACCAAATGTTGTATATGCATTTGCATTTATATCGGGATGTCTGTTTTGGTATAATTTAACCATACATAACACTGCCATCACATACATGAAACTGGAATCTGAAAAAGAAAAAATTATCTACGGTGTCCCATAATCATCTAGTAAACATTGCAAAGGCAGGTTTATTATACAGTCTGTCCAAGATAAGGTTGCACAGCATGGGGATCTCGGAAACGGTAGGAGATACGAAGTCGTTTGAATAGGGAAACAGTTGCGCATTCGGAGGCACAGATCAACAGCCTTCGAAAATTTTCAAAATTATTTTTAGTTTTTGAGTTATATCGAAAAAAGTTAATTTTTGGAATATCTATTTTATTTTTTTCTCCGTTATTATTGGAGATACCGAAAACCTGAAAATACTTTTCCATAGCATATCGGTGATACCGATTCGTATTCGTAGAACCATAATCAACTTTTGTTTTTATTCTGAATTCAACCATGTATTATACAAATTGTTTAAATGTGTTTCGACCTATTTTTAGTCATCATCAATGTTTTTTCGAAATTCCAAAGGAAAAATGCCATCAGTTCCACTTATTTTGAAGGACAATTATTCGATACACTAATACCTCATCAACTGGTTCCAATCAACAACCCATTTCATTTTGCGGAAACAAATATGCCATCCATACAAATTCAGAATATGTCAAGCGCTAAAACCAGGCGATGACGAAAGGCGCAGGACATTCTGTGAGTGGTATACCAGGAAATTTTGAAGATTTTCCTCGAAAAATCATCTGAACCGATGAAAGCATGATCACTAATAATGGTATCTTCGATAGAAAGAATACACATTATTGGTGAAGAGAAAATGAACATTTATACAATACAGCGAGACACCAACACCGTTTCGGCTTTAATATGTGGGTTGCAATATTTGGTACACGAATTATTGGTCATTTTATTCACCATGAAACATTGACTTCCGAGCGTTATAGAAATTTGCTTGAGAATCATCTTGAGGAAGCTCTGGATAATTTACCGAATACATTAGTTCAGAACTGTTGGTTTCAACAAGATGGCGCTCCGGCACATAATTCCAGAAAAGTTCGTGCATTTTTATCCAGAAAAATGGATTGGTACTCATTCTACAGTCGATTTGCCGGCGCGGTCGCCTGATTTGACACCGCTGGATTTTTTCTTTGGGGATATATCAAAAACATTGTTTACGCAAATATCTTTAGTGATGAAGAAGAACTAAGGGACAGTGTCATCGAAGCATTTAATAGTATAACCCCAGAAATGCTTAGTAATGTACATACATTGTTTTATGAGGTTCACATGTGACACTTTTCTCGACAAGCGAAATTTGCGTTTGCGCGGCGGAGCGAAGCAAATTTTGCCAGTCAGTCACATTTGGTCCGAATGAAACATGCTATTTTTTCTGCAATCGAAGTGATTGATATCTAATGAATGAAATATAAGTGCAGTTACTACTATTTTGATCCACTTGAGCATGTCAGTTCCAAAGCAGCTATCATATCAGCTGTCTACCGACACACTTAACTCCTAGACACTAAAAGTGTTGCCTAGCAACATATACACTAATCATTTTATTGTGTCAGTAAGAGAAACGTCAACTTCAAGGGCTAACCGTGGAACAAAAATGGACGACTTCTGAGTCGATTGCAGAAAAATATATATACTAGGTCGCGTCAAGTTGACGGTTGGACCTACGTTAAACTCATTGAAATTGTTCCTTGTTTAACGCAAACCTTTTGTCTAATCATGTGACTGGTCTATCTTGTCGAGTTTCAAAACGCAATGAACCTGGTTTTTAGGACGGTGTGATGAGTACCAAATAAGGGGTTGTATAAGCTAGAGTTCCTAAATGTACTTGACACTGCTGTTTTGACGTTTTTAGTACATTAGAGTACGGATACTAAGAGAAGCACTGACAATCAGACATAACCACAAATGAATTGATGGAAAAAGTGGGAACTGACAGTACACAGACGTTCATGACATAAATATCAAAGGTTTGACAAATTGAGAGAATTAAGAGAAAGATGCAAGTTTGTGCAGTTTACAACTGTGAGAACACGGAAAATCAATTCACTCTGAATTTCCACCGGATAACGTAATTCTACAAAAATGGAAACAGAATAATATGATGCGGCCGACATGAAATGTAGGTTCAGGCCACAACATTTGCGAGGTATCCAAATTGTTGGTAGGATATAGAACATTTTTCAACGCATTTTCATCAGGTACACTTCAGAACGAAAGATTTTATATTGAAGAATAGGATCGTATTGAGAGGAAGAGCCGAACCCACAGTTTATAAACTGAGCGAGTATCGAAAAGTACCTTATTCCAATTTAGAACCAACAAGAGACGAAGAACTTCATCTATCTATAGTCGTCGCAACTAGTTACGTAAAGTGAGACGTTTCTAGAAACTCGTCAGTTTTAAAAAAATTTAAATTACAAGTCGAAATTAGAAAAAAATATATTTTTATTGGTTTTGAAAGTAACTGAAACCAGAGTCACTTTTATTCCCACCAGCTCAGCTATCAGTTTCAAGTCTAATTCTTTGCATTTTTATATAGGTCACCTTGTATTTCTTGTAATTATGAATACATTACCAAATTGGAAGTTTAGTTGATTAGGACAGATATGGTAGCTTCCACTCAAAACTCCCTCCATAATAAGGGATACTCCCATGGCATAAAACAATCCATAATGCTGAGGTATACCAAATTGCTGAAAAACAAAAACATTCTCGTTATCGGAGCTCCTCTTTCATACAATATTATGATGGAGAAAAAGTAGCATTACTTACTCTATCAAAATCGACGTCCCTATGGGTTAGCCCCCTAATATAGGTGATAATAAGGAACAGCACACCTAACAAAATATAACCAATATTGGAAAACAAATGATTGAAGTCACTTAGGAAGCCCAATGGATGAGCACATAGGAAGTTGTAGTAACACAAGTCTTGTTCTCCTGTTTCATTCAGAACCTTGAAATTAAACAAGTAAGTCAATCAACTATATAAAAAATAATTTCGAATTCCATGAAAATCGTACCTATTAACTGAATATCTTCACTTCAATACAATAATTATAAACTGATTTGATATGTACGATGGATGATGAAAATCTTCGCTATGAATATACGAGTTGTTTTTGAAATGAGTACATATATTCAGTCAATACAGTCTAACGAATATTCCGATGATATCAGATTTCTCCCGATTCTTCTGAAAAACGAGAAATTTTATATTGAAAATTCAATGAAAATCGAAAAAAAGGGCCTTTTGGTGTATATCCCATAATAAAAAAGTAGTCTCCTTTCTTATGCAGAAGGTATATTGTCCTTCCTCCCTGAAAAAGTACTATAATACTGTTGAAGCCGATAGTGATTCGCTATTTCAATGATTTTTTTTCAGGATCGGACGTAAGCGAAGCTCTCGGCTGGAAATTTTCAGTAGACTTGAGTCTGCACCAATTAAGGGTATTGGCTATTATTTACAATATGAAAACATTCGTTATTCGTATTTACCGTCAATATCAGTGTGATAACTAATTCATTATCTTGTACTTTACTTATATGATAATTGTTGTCCTGACAGTACTTGTCAAACATACCATTCATACCATTATTTGTAAACCCGTCTGTTTTGCGGAATAAAGCCTACAAGTTTTAAAGGTTTATCAGTGAATTGAATTCGAAAATCGCTCTGATTGGTCTCCTATACCACCCTATATACAGGGTGTCCCAAAATTGATGGGACACAGAGCTCCCATGTGTAGAGGAGGTCAAAATAAGTTGATTAAACCCAATTTATTTTTGTGTCAAAATGTACCGTTTGTCCGTGAGGAAGGATTCAAAGTTCACATAAAAAAACACATTTTTGTACGATGTTCAGAAATAAGTGAAACGGATTTGATGAAATTTGGCAATAGTGTATTGTCGCAACTCAGATGGTTTTGGTAGATTATTTGGCAAACGGCGTGTCCACCACATGTCGCAACTCAGATGTTGCCCTCCTATGGATCGCAACTTGGCTACTCGCTTGGCTTGATGAGAGGATTTTGATCATTTTACCACCCAACCATATTCATCCCCAAATGAAGAGTCAAGATATTTTTCGTATATAATTAACATTTATTGATTTAATGGGAAAGTCGTGAATAAATGCTTGCCACATGGCAAAGTAGCAGAGACAAACCATAGTTATTACCAAACGGAACACAACACAGAAAAACAAATCAGATAGAACATGGAAAACAGTACTTACATTATGACATCTAACATGGGGTTGACCAGCAGGATCAAAGTCGGGAGGACGGTACACTCGTGAATAAGTAACTCAATTACGGAATCAAGTAAAGTGTTATCGAAATGCATTATAATAGTAATGAATAAGTAATCAGAAATCAGTAATGAATAATCAGTAATCAGAAATGGGTGATCAATAATAATCAAAAATCAGTAATGAATGGCTTATCGATTCGGAATCTATTTATATTTGGAATCGATGCTAACATTGCAATTTTCCGCAATGGCAATGCTCGATACCGGGCGTATAGCTTGGCCCGCATCGCAAGCTAAGCGGTTTCATGCAAATTTTACCGGAACTAGAGTCTATGAACTCCGCTTTGACCTGATTGAAACGTTGTACAAGATGTTTTAATTTGGAAAAGTTAATTCATGAATGAAGATCTAGAAATGAACGAAAGTTATTTCATAGACATTTGTACTTCTTGACAGTATTTCAGAGGATTACTTTCCTTTTGGTCATCGAAGAAACTTAAAAGAAATTGTAGAAGGGTTAAAACTACCCTCACCCCCTGACATTTTTTTTCAGAACTTTTTTAGGGGTCATAATACGGTTCTGGAATTTTTTGAGCTTGAAAACTAATCAATTACCTTCATTTTACTACTCTTGTAAAAATTCCGAATACCGCATAGTTGCCAAGAAAAAAAAATGTTTCCTCAAATAATGCTACCAGCTATTCCAATAGTACAAGTTTAATTAAATTTTCATATAAAACAAAACAGAACGTTTCTTTATAATAAATGTTCAATATGACGCCCACCTTCATTAATACAAATATCAATTAATTCCACGTAAAAAAAAAATTAAATGCACCCTCCTCAGGTCTTTGTCTCGTAGTGCATCAACGGCATTTTGGATTCTGTTCCACAGCTGTTCGGAAGTATCAATTTGAACTTAATACACTTGTGTTTTTAACGCTCCCCAGATGAAGAAGTCGCACGGATTCAAATTTGGAGACCGCGGAGGTCATTGAATAGGTGCTTCTTGTCCCCTACCAATCCATCTATCAGGAAATTGTTTGTTCAGATATTGTCTTACTGCACGTGCAAAATGAGGTGGTGCACCGTCGTGCATGAAGAACATGTTTCGACGAACATTGAGGGGCAAGTCCTCTAATAAATCCGGCAAAATTTCTCGAAGAAAGTGGAGGTAACCAGCACCATCAAGACAATCTGGCATTCGGATCTGCCCAACCAAAAATGTTTCGATAAATCCGATCCAAAAATTTCGAATTCTCGTTGATAGTGTCTAGCTTTAATGGCATGTGGGTTTTCATTAGCATATACATGCTCATTGTGCAGGTTCGTCATGCCACGACGTGTAAAACAAGACTCATCAGTAAAAAAAATATTAGTGTGAAATCAGTTGTCAAGTGGTCTGCGCTCCCGAACAATCCGTGAAAATGTAAACGTGATCGGGTGGTCAAGTGGTAATAACTCTTGCACAAACTGTATATGAAATGGAGGAATTAATTGTACAGTGTTTTTTGGAATTCCTGTTTGTCGCTGCACAGATCTGGTACTTATCTTGGGTTTGTCATTGATGATTCTTTCAAGAACAGCTCCTTCCGTATTAGGTCGTTGGACTCGGGGTCTTCCAACGTTGATTCTGACTGGTTTCAATATCCCAGTTTCTCGAAGACGCTCTCAATTTGGGCAAAAGTTGGAATTCTCCGGTTTGGATACCTTTTTTGGTATACGCGGGCACTTCTGCTACAGTTACCTTCAGAGAATCCAAGAACTTAGATCATATCGGTCTGCTCATTATAAGAGAAATCCATATCTGATAGCAGTTAAAATAACAACAACAATTAAATAATAATAAATGGTCGGTAATGCTACTCGCGGAAATAACAAAATTGAAGAATTTATTGAAATATTTACAAACTGAATGACAATAAATTTGTTTCCTGTCAAAATCACGACTTGCCTTCGTTTCCACTGTCAATTAAGTTTTATATCACAATTTAAATAAACTTGTACTGAGAATATCTGATAGCATTATTACGAGAACTTTTTTTTTCTTCGAAACTATGCAGTATACGAAATTTTCACAGGAGTAATAAAATGAAGGTAATTCTTCAATCTGAAAAAATTTCAGAACCGTAAATTGTCAGGAGGTGAGAGGGGTTTCAACCCTTCTACAATTTCTTTTAGGTTTCTTCGATTACCAAAAGGAAAATAATCCTCTGAAATACACTTTTGCCAAATTTCATCAAATTAGTTTCACTTATTCCTGAACAGCGTGCAAAAATGTGTTTTTTTATGTGAACTCTGAACCCTTCTCACGGACAAACGGTACATTTTGACACATAAATAAATTGGATCAAATCAACTTATTTTGACCTCTACACGTAGCTCTGTGTCCCAGCAATTTTGGGACACCCTGTATATGTTTGGACAACATAGGCTATATTCTGAATTCAACTGGTCAGTACTGCCAGTTGATCCACTGACTCTGCTGAAAATCTGTGTCCCGAAATATAAAATCAAAAATTCACTACTGTAATTCGGGACACGTTTTCATGGTTTCATCAGTAGTAGTTTCTCGTTTATCTGAACTAGATGTTTAGTCTCCTACTTGTTATAAATTTTGGAAATTTAATATTTTACTTGGAAGAGAAATCGATTCTTGTATCCTCTATAGTTTCTACGATTGTTGACGATGGCGATTCAAGCTCGAGTGATAAAGAATACTTGGACATTTTGTTGCCATCAATTTTTCATGATGCACCAGATTGAGAATTGAGATTCATGAAAATCGTAATATGCCCTAATAATGATGAATTTTAAGAGACATTCCAGGTTTATTTAGTGTATTTAGCCAATGCTGCTCCTTTCCTTACCTGCTCTACTACTTCATACTCCAGGTATTTTCTGATATTGAGGATGATTTCATTAACAACGGAAATGAATGTTACATTCCTTCCCCCTCTAAAATATGACAGTTCACTGAAGCCACACTACCTTTTGATACTCAGCAATTCCAGCAGAATGTTGAGTCGAAATATTTGGAATGAATAGTATGTCTGCTGACAAACATCTGTCACTTCCAGTGAATTTTTTGATTTCGGAATGTCCAGAACAGTGACTAACGACATTCTGAGCCTAAACAGAAGTCAGATAAGACAAGTGACGGGACTAATAACCGGTCACTTCCCCTTGAGGAAACATATGCACCAAAAAGGCATCTATACAGACGAGCCCATATGCAGACTATGCAATGAGGAGGAGGAAACTGCCACCCATGTAATATTGGAGTGCGAAGCACTAGCGCGTTGGAGATACAACCTTCTGGGAGCATTAAACTCTCAAGAGGCTTTTCCAACGAATGATTTGGTGAAGAGGCTGCTGAACCTTATCAAGGTAGCGAACCTGTTCACCTAAGTCAACAGCATGATCAAGAATACAATAGGCCCAAAGGCTGCAGTGTTTTGGGCTTCGAACCCTGACTGATCATTCTGCTATTAATCAATCAATCAATCAAATATGTTTGGGCAAAACGGATTCGTGCATCCCACTCACCCTCTGATAAGTGATGACCAGCTGGACGACAGGCAGTCCGTAGAACAGCGCCACCGTCATCACGTTGTACAGATACAGGTACGACTTCTTCTTGAGCACGCTAGGGTGCTTCCTGGCCAAGTCCATGAGGCACGGCTGGCCGCGGCCGAGCCGAAGGTCCCTGTCGGTGTCCACTTCGTGCACGATGTCGTAGTCCGCTTCGTCCACGGAGATGGTGTCCGCCAGGGCGGCGTTACCTACGGTCGTCATTTCTGAATGTGGAAGGACAAGTGAGGTACGCAGCGAGGAGAGAGACCTTAGACATATTAGGGATATTTCATTCACATTACCCGTCATGGTTGAAGCTGATAATCTCATTTCATTGTGTTTAACCGTGACGTCATTTCCGTTTGTGAACACCTCCCCTACCTGCCCTTGGGTTTACCAGCTCCATAGTTGGTAAAGGTGGCTAATGTTAAAGTTGAAGATTTGTTTACGAAGTGAAAGTTGGAGGATATTATGGAAACATGGATGTCGATGAATTAGATACAGAGGCATATGTACAAAGATTGCAAAATGGTAGGGTAGGGATCAGGAAAGTAAAAATGTATTTAGCTAATTTCTAGATGACAAGCTCCTTGAACAATATGTTTTGGGTCGATATGTACAGAGGAGAACCCATACTATTCTTTGCTATATGGCTCCAACTATCTCTCCTCATCCGAAACATGCGATAGAAATCTAATTCTAGGTAATAATCTATCAATGTTTCAAAGAAATTACGATTCCTGAAATGATGACAACTGATACCTCCTAGTGCAGTGATTGTGGCAGTACACCGATGATTCGATCTCTTTTATCAAATGAAGTAATCTGTCTTTTTCTCATGATAAAACAGAGGTCAAATCATCCATCATGAAAAACATGGTTGCACACAACATATTTTTATTTTTTTTATTTTTATAGACATGATCAATTAGGTTTGCACAATAACAATAAAACATAGATAAACAACAAATATTTTTTCTTTCGGATTCAAAATGAAAGAACCTGAGGTAATAACTGAGTAAACTGGGTAAAGTGAAAGAAATAGGAATTCAAAAATGGTTAATGTTGACGTCATTATGACGTAGCTGCATCCCACCACCTTCACCAATATACTATTAGCGGGTTTAACCGTTACCACCGATACAACAAGGCCTGCATGCTCCGTGGGTGACGTCACTTAGTGAGGCCTAACCAGCGGCTCGAAACGACAAGCGCTTATAGCGCTATAAGGCGACCGCGTATTTCGATTTTAGTTTTAGATTTTGCTGTTTTTTGAAGGGCTTCCGGTTAAAAAAGGATGCCAGTCGTCAACTGAGCCCTACTTTGCACCCCATTCGATTTTATTATGGAAAAACGAAGTTTTAAAGCAAAAACCATGATAAAACACAAATATCCACCTACAGCAACCCATTCGATTTAAATATATTGGCAAAAATTGTGGTGAAGGTAAACTTCACACCTACTTATACAGGGCCCGCAGAACATAAACTTATCGTAAGATTGATCGAAAGAAAATGGTGGAAAATGTATTTTATTTTGATTGACATGCCGTTTGTTACAATTAAATTACCTATATTTATCTTGGAGAATTCCTATTACCTAAAAAAATAACCAGTAAGTGTTTTCAATTTTCTGTTGTTGGATTTTTCACCCAAGTGGATCGTTACACTTGAAACCGTAATTTTTAAGGGTAAAACTGCATTTATCATGCGATGGTTTTTTTTTTTTGAAAATTTTTTTCGGTACTGACGTATTTTTGTCTGATAAACCGAATTTTATAATGAAAATATGAACAAATCACTATTTATTGAGATATTTCAAGAAAAAGTTCGAAATTTCGCCCCCTTTCTCCCCTTGTGTTGGGGGCATTTGAAGCTACTTGCTCTTATTTTGTCATTGGACACTTTATATACTCATGATGTACTTCGATGGCACATTTTTATATAGAAAATTCAACAGGGAATATGATTTTTATGGCGAGTTTTTCATATTTAGTGAACAAGCATTCCAGATGACGACCATTTAATCAATAGTCAATCAAAATACGAGATGTCAAATGTCAATAGGTTGCTTTCGAATGACATTGCATACGCCATTATTTTGAATGATATTCTTCCTTCTTTCCACTAAATATGGATTAATCTCAAGAAAATCATATTTATAGTTGAATTATATATAAATTGTCCAATTTGATGAAAAAAGAAGGGAAATTTGTTCTAAATGCCATCCAGAAGACAGGAGAAAAAGAAGATGAAATTTGGAACTTTTTAGTCAAATATCTTCATGATAAATGCAGTTTCACCTTTTCAAGTAGAGTGTTTTTAGTTCATGTTAATATGATAGTTGCAATTTGATCATTGGAATGAATTCTGCATTAATTGCCACGATGTAAATGACCGTTTTCAGAAAGAAATTTGAGAATGCGAATTAAAAATGCCCGTTTATTATGAACATTCAAGAGTAATTGTCTTCTATTATTAATTCATCATTATAAATTAAGCTCTGTTTACTACTGAACTCAGATGGAGTAAAATCCTCGCGGTGAATTGTATATACCCACATTTTCGATAGCTCCTCGTCCAACGGGAAACTAAAAGCATGAACTTTTGAGCCACCCACATAATTCCCCCGACAAAAGGGAACACAGCACTTGAAAGGCATTGTTATTTCGCCGATCACAACACAAAATATTTCACAAAACAGTAATTTTTCCGCCAATTATTTTGATGAATAAACAACAAAAGAATTCGGGACCGTTTCAAAAACATACGTGAATCACCGATGAATTAACACGAACTGACGCGTTAGTCGACAAGCGATAAAATAAAACACTGGCCTCTCTTGGTAACGTCACGAGCTGTTTACGTCAGAGTCGGCTGGCCTTGTTGTATCGGTGGTAACGGTTTAACGGGTAATGTGAATGAAATATCCCTATTGTCACAAATAGGGTGATAATCTTAAAATTCATTATATGCATAGGAAGGGATCAAGGAAGGGATACTATTTTTCAGCCTAAATGAACCTTCTTCCTAGAAAGTATATTTTTCAGAAAATTACTTGAGAGAACAGAAGAGACTACTGCTTCAAAACAACCTAAGCTGACTCGGCCTGAATGAACCTTCCTTTCGTCATTACAGGGAATGCCTGAAACTATCAGGCAAACGGTGTACGAAATTTAGAGTTACGCTGTTTGCCGGCAATACGTGAAATGGCTAGGCATTCCAGAGAATGACGGATTTCACTGTTTGACGCCGACATATACAGGGTGTTGCGAAATTCGACCGACAACGACTGACAGGTGAAAGCCTTCGTGATTTCACAATCACTGAGATAGGGACATACGGTCTTCAAGTGTTCAGTTCTCGAGATACAGGGCGTTGAAGTTAAGAAATTAAAATAGTTTTTCCGCAATATCTCAAGAAAGATTGGATATAATGCATTCAAATTCGGTATATGGTTTCATCTTTGAATGGGTAATTTTTTGACCAGAAAGCCATCCCGGACATTCTATCCAGTGGTGCCCTACAGGGGGTTGTGGTAACTTTTCCTCCCATATTTTCTATACCACTGATTGAATTCCGATTATTTCCAATTCCTCGAATTCATTGTTCAATCTTGTTCAAAAATTGCTTCACCTTCAACCGAGCTGAAATGAACAGTTTTCGAGATATTCGACCCAGAATAGAAGATTGCATAGTAATATTTCATGACTGTCGATGTCATTATAACAATCAATCAATCAATCAAATAATCATATTATAACTATTGACTGAAAATACAATTTTTAAGCTTTCCTGGTATTTATTCGTATCCAAACGGTTTTTGCTTGTGTTGTTGTAGTCAGGAAATAGTTATATAACATGAATATCTGTGACTCATTTATACTATGTTGCCTTATGGAAATAGACAAATTCGAAGCAAATAAGTTTTCAACAATAGACATTTGTATAAATGTATTTCTTACCGATTTCTTCTGTTACTTCTGTCATTCATGTGTGCGTGAGTTTAGTAGTGTTAGTAGATGCATGAAAAATGAAAATTGAAAATTTGAAATATTAGTTGAGGCTAGGTATTTGAGAAAAGTTGATAATTATTTCTAATTGGATCAGAGAAGTACCAAAACTTGGCTGATATTAATTTGGATAATACTGATGATTTATGAAAAATTGAAATATTTTCGATAGGGAAATCGATGTCTATTTTGGTTATGTACAAACTCCGTAATTTTTTGTTTCTGATGAAGTTGTGTATGTTTTTCAAGGACTAAATTGTAAAATTCTGAAGTTTTGAATAAAGGTTGTATGGTCATGACAAAATTTTATAAAAATGCTATCAAAAGTTCAGTAGTGTGTAGATTTCCTGATCCCAAAAATATTTATTATATCAACTAGTAACCTGAGCAAATTAGGATTACATAAGAAGTTTGGAGTAGAAAAATCGTGTTAAATATCATAAATATTAATGGCATATTAATGATAAATCAAGTACTTATAGTATAAATTGTCATGATTATAATATGAAATATATTGGGCAAACACGTCGAAGCATTAACACATAATTTAAGCAACATGAGTCTGAAGATCTAAATAAAATCAGATATAATCTACGAACTTTAAATATAATCGGTATGATGAATCAAGTGTTGCTTTACATATCCTTGCGACTTTAGATAATTTGCGATTTCTTGAACATGTAACAAACAGTAGATAATTGATCAGTTTGATGAAAGGATCCATCCCTAGTACCAAAATTTCTGAATACTTTAAGATGATGTACATAGAAGCAAAACCGCTGTCTGATCCGTGAAATCATCATGATATCACCAATTTCTACTGGTAATTTCCAGAGAATATCTTGAAAGAATAGAGTCAGTTAATATTTATTTCCCTTTCAGTTATACTGATGGATGCAACAAAATACATATTTATGCTTTTCTGAAAATTAATGTGGTATCTTGGCAATATTGGGTATATTTTATATTTGATTTGATAGAATAGAATTAATACGGCTATGCAGTGTAGAATCCAATTAGAAATAATAATCTTAGAATCAAAAATGATTTTGAGATAATTGAACAGCAAACAATCTACCATTCCAGCAATTTTGAATCCCACTTTCTGGAAAAATCACAAGATAATAATGTAAATAATACCTGTGCCTGTTTTGTCTTTTCGTCTAGCCTCCATTTTAACAACCCCTATGAAAAACAACAAATATCAAAACGAATAATTAAAAGGAATAAATATTTGTATTATAGTTTATAGTATGTTAGTGTTTAGAGTGTGCTGTGTGATTAATGACCAGCATGAAATCAATTCTAAATCCTCGAAAAATATAATTATATTTTTATATTGGAATTAAAAACTCACTCGAATTCGGTGTGTAGTTGATATTATCTGCTACATACGCCATTTGCCTCGGAACTGTGCCACGAACAGCACAAATGAAATATGATAAGCCAAAAACAACATAAAATCCACCTGAAAGAAATGATAGTGATAGTTTTTCGTACCCAACTAAATGAAATATTTCAGTTGTAATGAACTGAATCAGAATTGAGGTCTTTTAAAAAAATGCATGTTAATTGATTCAGTTCAGTTCTATGTAGTGAAATATTTCAGCGAGTTCACATTGAAAGAATATCATTAGGATTACTGATGACAATTCTATAGATTGTGTCCCAGATTGGTGCTGCATGCTTTGCTATCAATTATGTGTTATTATAAGAGTTAAAAAATGGGCAATGAATCTCAGGATTCTATCACCATTTCAGAAAAATGTATACTTAAGGTTGAATTCAAGATTGAGAATAGGGAATTTCGAGTCAAAACTTGAAAATTCAAGATGGCCAACGGTTATGCTAATTTTCATCTAATTTGTGTAGAAATCTAGATGAAAAATGTATACAGTGTATGACTCTAGCACCTTTCATAAAACTATAGATCACCCAAGTATACAGGAGCTAGCCCTCCAGAACCGATTTTGTATGCGCATGTGCGGCGTTGCAATGGTTATAAGGGGAATCACTTCTACTAGGATGGGTTAAACTCTGCTTAGACCACTCCAATGTACTGAATGATCCGAAATATTCTCATTTTTCAAAGTTTGGTTATTGAACTTAATCAGAATACTGACCCAAATTGCTCAATTCATTTTGAATATGCCCAAGAAATACTATTACCATTTATGCGAATAGTGCAAACGTGTTTTTCTGTGTAGGTCGAATTCTAATGGAAACACCCCTGTATCTTCCGTAACCATTCATAATTGTCCTATAAAATTTTAAGTCCTGAAAAATTAAATTCTGTCGCACTTTTTACGGGAGTACTCCCGTATCTTACGTAATTGACTTTATCTTAAGACTTTCCCTTCCTCCTGCAAATTTCAGAACCCTACCACAATAATTACTTGAGATACGGGGTTGTTTCCATGAGAAGTGAGACAAAATATAATTTTTCTGAACTGAAAATTTTCTAGGAAAACTATGAATAGTTAGTGAATTGGGCGTCCTCTGATCCCGAATACGAAGTGATTTTCAACCTATTTTAATTCCTAATATCATTTTCCGGAAATTGAGGTGGTTCCATGGCTGTTGGCGAACAGTGAATATCGCTGAAGTTACAGGGGTGTTTCCATTAGAAGTGGGTCACACTGTATCTTTGAGGTTCTTGAGCCATAGAATTTCAGTGGCAGAATCAGAGATTTTGCATCTGAATAATTAATTGAGTGATCTGTGATGGAATCCACACTTCACAACCGATTATAAAAAAATCCTTCTTCAGCAGAAGTAGCATCAAAAAGTCTATGCAACAATTATTAGAAAAATCATCTTAGATTTAGGAAATTACTTTTATTTATGTCACACTGGAGTCAAAATCTGAGAATCGATTTAATTGTCAACGAAAAACTAATTAGAGAGTTAGATAGATAATGATTTAATTAAAATGGAATTGTTTCATTAGCAGTACACAAAATATGTACAACCCTATACGTAGATAAAAAAGTAAAGCTAATGATATCTGTAAAAAAAATGTAAAATTTGTATACCGCTACTTCGAAGTTGGGAACCAACTACCCAGAAGTCGAAACTTCTGCGGAGTTAGGAAGAGCGAGACCTACAGCTCACAGTGGAATTTGAACCACTTCTATGGCGCCGAGATTGAAGTGTTCACTTGAAATTCGTATTCCTCAACATAAAAAACCCCAGGAGTCGGTCGAATCGGAAGAAAACGACAAAATGGTTCACCGTATTGGAGTCATCTTTAATTTCGAATTTGAATCCTAATAATCATGATTCTTAGACTCAAAACCCTCCAGAAAGATGTTCTCAGACGTATCGGACGTAAATGAACGAGCTCGTTCGCCATTGTAACGGTGGCGCCGTTTTAAATTTACTAGTTTTTTGCTTGAAATGAATTTTCAAATTTTCATTGTAAATGTCTGTTCCTTAACCCCAAAATCTCCAGATATACATTCTCAGACTAAGAGCTGTGATACAATTGAAGTTTTATGCAATAAGTTTTAAGGTTCAAGATTTAAAATATAAAAGCTGGAATTCCACCAATAAGGTTGTTTGAGGGGCGTGACCACTGACCAGAAACGATTATTCGATTATTATGTCAGTATAATCGAAGTTATTATAATCATGAAAATGTGCATTGCTTCTATACTCTTTTAACAACACCTCCATGAACAACTTTCTCTTCAAATTCACGATGGTTGGGTTTCTGAATTTTAAATCATAAAAACTATCACGTCCGTATCTTGAAACATGAAACTTATTGCCTAATTCATAAATTTTTGTTTTGTCGCCCGCTGCAAGGATCTGTGTGTTCATTGTATAATACTATATATCTTAAATTATAAAACTTAACACCAACAGAAAATTTCAATGGGCGAGTGGACTAGTAATGAATTATTTTCATTCAATTACTCCACTGCATCGTTAGGGACCTAAATTAATTTTTGCAGCACTTCTCACGCTTTTTTAATGTGAATAATGAGTCAATTGTTGAATTCATTGATCAGATAATCTTTCATTCCCACTCATGAAGCAAGATTGCCAAGTCACAAATTACAATCAAGTTATATAATTGTTAGGGTCATGTCGTTGAAAGAAACATAATAGGAGGAACCCATGATATTATAGCCAATTCTTGACTATTTGCAGCAATCAGAATGTCCAAATATTTCTTATACTCCATAACAAAACATCATGTAAATGTCGGAGACTTGGCAATATTGTGCTGAATGCTGAGCACTGACAAGACCACGCACACAATTCGTGCTCCGTTGTTGTCACGTTTACCCGAGCGTTTCCGGTTCAAATGTCCTCTAGTGTGAATTAATTTGATTATTATTCACACAAATGTATTATAACCAATAGGCCACAACACATGAGGGGGCATTCTGGGACAATTGATTTTTCAATGCTAATAAGGAATATTACTGAGAATTTATGGATTATTGAAAAACTAATATTTCAGAAGTTCCCAATCGTATTCCAACATATTGCAACTGTGCTATGGTCTGCCCCTACTCACTAAATCGTGACGTCAGTTTTAACTCGCGGTAAATTTCTAGCCGTTTGAAAATTACCGTAGCATTATTTACGACACCTTAAAAACAACAGAAAATTTTTAAAAAAATATGGAATTGAAAGGTATTTGAGTGATGATTCTATTTGCCTATTGTCGCAGCCTTAATCTAACGAATAATATTTGTAGCAAAACTTTGTTGAATTGAGGTTGGAGTAGTGTTCCCCTCCATTTCTTCTAATTTTTTGTGTTACCCACATAAAATGTCCATACTTTTACGTTAGAACCTCGAGAAAAAGAACTTGAAAGGAAAGAAACATGTTTTCTCTCTAAGCTAACTGAATTTTTCTAGTCTCTTTTATTTAAAAAAAAATCATTATTAGGAAGATATGAAGTAAGTATAGTTGGTAATAATGAAAAAACATTTGAATGTTCATTCCCAAATTTGACAGATGGTAGAAAAATTATTCAAATCAACATCATTATTCCAGCGATATAATTTGAAATTGTTGGTCTATCAAAATTCTGAATTTCCTATTTTGAGAATGACTGAAGAGTGACGAGGCAAACTTAAGTTGCACCCATCCTGAACTGAGGGAATTTGCAGAATATCTTAAATTATCGAATCCTGAGATTTTTACAGGACATTGTTTTCGGCGTTCTAGTGCGTCCCATTTAGAATAGAGAGGCGGTGAAATCCTCAGCAGTTGCTAAAGGTTACATTCTGGAAGAGAAAAATTAAGGTAGGTAGCTCAAATATTTTCTTCTCAGCCTACAACTTCTACAACATATTCTGATGCATCTACCTCACAGTTGTATTGCACAAACAATAACTTGCATAATTAGACTAATGAGCATAATTTTGTCTCAACCAGCCTAACAGAACGTACCAGCAAATTTGTTAGGTAATAAATGAACCTCGAGAAAAAGAACTTGAAAGGAAAGAAACATGTTTTCTCTCTAAGCTAACTGAATTTACCTAGTCTCTTTTATTTAAAAAAAATCATTATTAGGAAGATATGAAGTAAGTATAGTTGGTAATAATGAAAAAACATTTGAATGTTCTTTTCCAAATTTGACAGATGGTAGAAAAATTATTCAAATCAAAATAATTATTCCAGCGATATAATTTGAAATTGTTGGTCTATCAAAATTCTGAATTTCCTATTTTGAGAATGACTGAAGAGTGACGAGGCAAACTTAAGTTGCACCCATCCTGAACTGAGGGAATTTGCAGAATATCTTAAATTATCGAATCCTGAGATTTTTACAGGACATTGTTTTCGGCGTTCTAGTGCGTCCCATTTAGAATAGAGAGGCGGTGAAATCCTCAGCAGTTGCTAAAGGTTACATTCTGGAAGAGAAAAATTAAGGTAGGTAGCTCAAATATTTTCTTCTCAGCCTACAACTTCTACAACATATTCTGATGCATCTACCTCACAGTTGTATTGCACAAACAATAACTTGAATAATTAGACTAATGAGCATAATTTTGTCTCAACCAGCCTAACAGAACGTACCAGCAAATTTGTTAGGTAATAAATGAAATGCCGTAATGTTATAGTTAAGTGTTTGGGATCACACGTTAAAAGGTAAGGCCCCCGTCATTCCTTGCTCGCACAAGACTTTCGAAGACTTTTGAGGGTTGCTCGTAAGGGGGCAACCGAATGACGGATAGAACAAATTTTAGAACAAAAAAAAAACAAAAAAATTGTTGCGTTCTCTCTCTAGACGCTAGTGTGTCTGACAGTTTGAAGTTGACGTTGCCATTACCAACTTTGAAACAAGAAATTCAGCGTGTCCTAATAGGAGCTGGTTTGATACGCATTTGGGTATCATAATGACTTCATTAAGGATGCAAAATTGAAAAAAATATTTACAGTGTCTGAATAGGGTGTATTCAACCTATGATACAACATGATAATATTTTTCAACCACTTGAGAGAAATGTCAAATTTTGAAAAATATAGTTTCAAATTTCTTACCTATGCAACATAGCGTTAGAATTACAGCTGTGACGTAATCTGTGTAAGTAATACTAGGTTTTATAACAAGAGTTAAGTGTTTAATTCGGTTTGGATTCGAAGATGAAGCTGGAACTCCTTCTACTCGATTACATTGGTAGTCATCAGGTTTGGCAACAAAAACCACGTAAAATCCATGTGGGAAATTGTGTTTCTAGAAAACAAAGAAGTTAATAATTTATCATCTCAACTAATTATATAGCACATATTTCATGCCAAAAGAATTGGGAACACCTTGCTTGGGTCTTATAATTGACAGAAAAATTGGACTAGTCATCAAATGTGCTCATAATTTGATCACATGTAGGACGATGAAATGAAATTCTCAATTTTTGACAAAAATGCAATGTTATCTCTGAAAAAAATAGGATCAAATATTTCTTAGTTTGGTCCACGAGTTTTTCCGGCGCCATGAATTATATCAGCAAAATTTGAGCTGGTTGGTTGATTGAATTAATATAAAACCATTGAGGTTTGAATTCTCGGCGCGTTATGATAATCACATACTAGAAGTGAATATTGGACCACAAGCCCAAGAATGGAACGGTGTTCCCATTATATTGTAGGATATGATACATTACTTTATGATTATTTTGATTACTCACAGAAATCGTTATTCCCCCTTTTTTATTCACAGTTTCATAATATCCTCGAAATGTAACATCTTGATTGGTATCGAATACAGGACACTGGAAAAAGGTTCAGATAATGGATACTAGTTTTCTCTCACTATTTTTCTAATGTAATGTTGATATAATCTATGTTACTGAAAGTGAATCAATACCTGTGAAACAGCAAGGATGACTGAGTTTTAGGTTGATAATGTAACAGTATGATTTCCTTTCATATATTCGAGAGTCAAAAGAAATAGTTCATATTGATTGAATCAAAAGCTCTAACTGAAATTGTTTCAAATTTATTTTGAGTTGCCATGAAGTGGATTTTTCAATACTTTCTTAATTAATTCGAATTTACTCTTTTTCTCTAGAATCTATAGGAAGTGTTGACAATATTTTTCATTTTATTTGATCATGTTATGTAACAAAATCACAATATGATTACTGCATAGTTTATAAATTAGGAAATGATCTGAAAATATCTCACTACTTAACTATAACTTGATACACCATTGATAGTGATTAAATATTTACTGTGTTAATTTCTGTGAATGCCAATGATCTTTATTTTGAGGAGAACGTACAGTTACGAAGGCTTAACATACATAAGACAGATTCAAACGAAATAGCGTCAACGTTTTTTTTGTGTTTCTAGAGAAACTGGCTAACTTTATTCCTCTGTAAAAAGGACTTTTTTCAAAAGCAGTTAGGCGATGCCTTGGAAAAGTATATTCAAGTGATCCCGTTGGCTATATATTCTGTTGATTTAAACTGCTGAAAATTTCTTTATTTTCGAAAAAGAAAAATAAAACTTCTGAATAACGTTTGAATTTATGATCGAATGAAAATATGCTCAAGACACGTCAACTCTAATTTCTAGGGGCACAAAATTTGAGATTGATCTGTCATCTGTCATGGCTTCCTCCTCCCCTTGGGAACCACACTTTCAAGACTTTCAAATAGGAACATTTAGGTCGAGTGACACCTCATTCGAAAGGTATTTCCACCCCGATGACAACTGTGTTTTCTTTTTGGTATATAGCTACAACAGTAAGTATTGAAAATGCCTACAAGAATCTCTGATCTCCATTTCTAGCATTCCTCTCAAAACCCTTTTTGACATACAAAAACTCGATTTATCGCTCCACAATCGCCATAAAATACTTACACTAATATTCTGTATGCTTATTGTCATACAAATATCATCATCAGAAGTCACTTCTAGAATAACAGTTTCATAGTTTGAATCTGTAGTCACGAGTTGGGAAACATTAGTCGAAAAGTTATAAAAAAAGTATCTGAAAAAAAAAACATACAATTGGCCTGGGAAATTTGAAATAGATCTAGGGATTCAAGGCGGATGGTAAATCAGAGGATGTGTTAATCTGTGTCAGAGAATTCTGGTACTTCTGGCAAACAGGCAAACCAATGTCTACAGATTTTGCGTGCTTGCCACATCTACTAGACAGTAGTAGCAACAATTCATTTTCATCACACGTGCATGTTTCATATTGATGAAATACATATTACTTTATATGGAGGAATAAGATAAAACTTCAATTATAATTCATATAGATCTATTGAAAAATTCGGAATAACGATTACATCTCGAAATGCGTAACATTTTGTATGTGGTCGCATATGTCCACAATATCTTACCAATCACCCCTTCGATAACACCCTATATAATTAGATTTTTGTAATTCGATTCCACTCCTCCACAAATATCTGGTATATTCCGATTTAACCGTTTTTGAGGTAACAATAGGAAACAATATTCAAAATGGTGGAAATTTAAAATTGATATTTTTTAATGATGCCCAACATTCTCAGTATGAGCAGTCTGTGCTACTGGAGATTGAAGTCTATGTCAATGTCAAGATTTTCCAACTTTTGCTGAATAGCCCTGAAAATTAGGCCTGTTGTTCCGAAAATTAGTTCAAATGGTGGTCTGAGGTGTGGCCAATGTAAACAACTACAAGATACAAATGCAAAGTACAATCCATCCAGAGAACAGCCATTCGCCTGGCGAGTGATGCCACACTCACTAACTCTTTAACCCCAATAGACCACCCTAGAAAAGTCTGCGACCTTTCGCTCTTCTATAGATACTTCCACGGGAAATGTTCCTCAGATATATTTGCTATAATTCTATCACTAGCAATACCAGTCAGGCGAACTCGACAGGCCCAGTCAGTACATCCCTTCGTCGTTAATCTTGAAAAATGTCGAAAACTCTACCAAAACTCGTTTGCCTATAGAACGGCGAAGCTTTGAAATTCTTTGTCAATGTCAGTATTCCCAAGAACTTATAACCTCCAAAAGTTTCAAAACAATCCAACACGTACCTCTTCTCCCTATCCTCCCTATATACGCACGATGTTCCACTAACATTATAGGAATTTCCTTTCGTGCGCTCCAAGAGATAAAAAAACAATGATGTCATGCAATATGTTTCATGAAACATTTTTCATTGCACAATTGTGTTAGCGAAACATGTCGTGTGATTGAGAATTCAACATTCAATTTCAGCTAATTTCGTATCCTACTAAGAGGTTTTATTCTTAATTTACGAATTCAAGTGGAGTTCCACAACCTAACCTCAAAAAAATAATCAAATCAAAGTTGGTAACGTTAGTCAACTAAAGATACATTGTGTAAGCATGCGTTAACTAAGGCATTTGGTCTGAATTTAGTTAGATCTCCTTGGTAAGCATACCAACTATCCATACGGTATAATCGTGGCCTTTAATGTCATCGAAACGTCATCTAATAAACTTGGCGACAGTGAATAAATTTTCACCGAGAATTATGTGACTAAGCCTAGGGCAAATTCACACAAACGGATTTGATTTTCTTACCTCGGCTCACTAGGAGAAACGGTGAAATTATATTCCTTGGAGTGCTCAATGTAGAAATTTTTTTGGGAATGAACATTTATTGTAAATTCAATCATTTCGTTTGAGGCAGTTGCTACAGATACTATAGGGCTATCATGTTTTATTTCCATCCTACCTGAAATAAAAGTTATTTAGAATCATGCAACTGTATTCATTACCTAAAACAATACATGGCAGGAATATAATGCTCCCATGCCATAGGTGTTCTAGAAATGAATACTTGAATGCCAACTTTTAATACGGTAATCAGTAAGGGAAGGTAATCAGCTCAGGAAAATTGGAAAGCTCGAAGATGGTGCATGCTGGTAAGGTTGGAGACCATGTCAGCCATCAATCTTTGTTAATTTATTCACAGTAACGTTTCTTTACAATTCATGAATACTAAATATAATTATTGAAATTTCTCAACATCATTTTGTCCGTTGGAATAATCACAAAATACAGGTGAACAAGCATACATACGGTAACCTCATTTCTCATTCATTTTATTATTATGGACCACCAACATAAATTTCTAACTAGACCACTGATGTGACTGATGTCATTAGATCAAAGCTCATTCATTTACGAGATCGAACTTGTTTCAATGGAGCATGCTCATTCAGAACCTGTCATATATCTTACTCTACTATGTTTCTGAACACCAAGAGACACAACTCGATGTCATGAATGATAGTTCAAGAAGAGTTCGGACACAGAAATGACAACTGTTAGTATTTTTGAATGTTTAGATTTATTAAGTTACACACCTAGCATTGTGACTAGAGCACCATATAGTCGTCCCGCGCTTTGTCATTCAAAATTGTTTGAACTATTGAGAGAAAAATATTAATGGAAATGTCCTGCTGTGTAATTGTGGGAATTCCGAAGAGAATGTATTTCATTTATTCAATTTCCCGAAGGATATATCAACCATTCTCTTATGGAAGGAATGTATGAAACGGCCTGGATCTCGGCCTGGATGGAAAAGTAATTTGAAGACAAGCAAAATTTGTGAGGTAGGTCACAGATTACAGTGAAACATGTTAGGCCCATTTTCAAACAGACGATTTTGGGATCCGTTTGAGTGAATGTGCTGATCCATTTATTCACAAAACAGACTATTTCGAGTACAGTTTTACATACAATAATAAGGAACTAGCTATAAGTATATGCATATGTGTCTACTTTGTCATGTTGTTACATGCATTCTTTTCATTCTTATAACTGTTGTTCAGCGAAAAGGGTATCTCTATAAATTGAAGTGGGCGTTAATACCCTATTTCCATTTTCCATCTACGACTATGAGTGAATAGACAGAAAATCTAAACTCTAAAATCGTATCTGACAATCAGGCGCTACTAGGGAAATTGAAAAGTAGAAGAGCAGAATATATGTTTTATTCACTCAAACCATTGTAATATGGAAGATAGAAAAAGGCAGAAGTTCAGCTGCGTCCGAACTCTTATCTAGATAGCAGTTTTTTCAGTAACCTCAACCTCACTTCTTATTCATATTTTATCATATTATGTGGATGACAGATGACCCTGATCACAGTAGTGCTACCACACGGCAATTGGGAGCAATTACTGACATAACCTACTATCTTGACCACAATATGTGATTACCCGACAACCCGAAAATCTCGTCCAAATTATTCGCCTGAAAACGGTTCTAAACAAGGCGCCGAAGGATACAAACTGTCATTCATGAAACAGGAGTATGAGTGAAAAAATGCGCATGATCATTAGCGATCTAGATAACAGAGCAATATCGGACACTCTGCCATCAAATAGGAAGGTACTCATTAAAACAAATAGAAAATGTGAACTTCCTATACCTCGATAATTTTCATGAAACCCTTCCTTTTCAATAGACAAGGTTGTTTGGAGAGTTGATATACGTTACTAAAAATGTGAGAAAAAATGTTTTGACCAAATGGACCTATCCAGTATCGTAAAATTCGATATTTTTAGCCATAATGTTATGAATAGAAGTCAATAACGTTTCACCGACCACATATTTATCGGAAATGTCGAACTGCAACTGCAAATGACTTATTTAATATTGAAGATGTTCTATTAATACGCTTCTGAGCTGTGACGTCAGTGTCTCCTTGCAATTTGATTAGTTGGAATTTATTACGGCTGGGAATCACGCCACTGTTGCCAGTTGTCAATAAAATCCTTGGATAGATCTTATGTGCAAGATGGTGCTAGGAATGCCATATTTCGAAATTACTATGTATTAGGTAATTGGTTAATAAGTTTCAAGATTAGCTAGGATAATTTGTGATACAGGAATCTAACAAGACGGTTTTCACATTGTTTCCCGTCTGCTCAGTTTGTTTGATTTTGAATTTCGTTGCCTACTTGTTATAATCATCCAATTGATCAGTATAACTTTATCTCAAGTACTTATTTCCGGAAAACATAATTGCTAATGTGGCAACCATGTCTACAAGAGAAAGAGATGAAGCAACTGGCGCTAACACAATGTTGCCAAGTTAAAATACCTCATTCTTCGCATAACTTCACTGTTCTCATTTCTAAATATTATTGACAAGACGGTATTATGCTTATATAGAAAATAGAACCAGTGAGCAATTTAGTATTGCTTGATTCAAAATTTGTTCCTTTCTCTATGGTAGATAAGTATAAGTAGGTACCTATAAGTGAGTACCATAACTTGAAAGTACTTTGCTAGAAGGGTTTCAGAACAAAATGTCATAAATATCTGCATTGTAATCATATTCTATTCAACCTAATAATATTACGTGAGTAAATTTGATTGACGCTAAATAGTATTTCGAGTTTCTTGTGTGAAAATATATTTCTACCAACTTCATTGAAATTAATTTGTGAAAAATGAGAAATTGAGCTACTGTCGACTAATTTTTTTATTATTTTGTGTAACTATAGAGTCAGTTAATTGTGTTTTAATTAGCTTAACCAAACGATATGTTATGGATATGAATTATATCCATACATACTGTTGCGTTCCTTGTAACAAAATATATTTTCATCAACTTTAGTGGAATAAAGTTGGTCAAGAATAATAGTTTGAACTACCACCAGCTGCCTTATCAATATTTTGCGTAACTATAGTCGGTATTTTGCGTAATCGTATCCTAGTACTTTTTTAAATATCGGTGTGAAATTTCCTCACCGAATAACACTGCAGCTTGAATTAAAAACTGGACATTCTTTCTGGAACACGAATATTTAGGAAATTCTCCCTCGTCTATTTTCAACAAATTGGAAAGCTCATTTTTGTTTACTTTGCTTAAAGCAACGGGAGAATATCGCGAAAATTTCATACCAGTCATTTTCATATACTACACTGTTTTACCACTAACCAAACCGATTTTTTAACGCCTCGACACGTGTTTCGCTAACTATGTTAGCATCTTCAGGAGAAGATTAAAACTAAAAATCCTATTCTACTGTGCTGCTTATATACTAGGTATATGTTCACCCAACTGTGAAAAATACTAACCGTCAAGTTAATATTTGTCATGGTTGAGTTCACATGTTAATCTTAATTTACTAAACTATATAGAGGGCTATATGGAATAGGTCCATTATCCTTATTCATTACTCTATCACTATTCTTAAATATCTCTAAGCTTTCATATGCGTCTAGTTTTCTAATGTTATTAACTTGCTTAACTAATTTGAGGTTAGTAATATGTGTGTTATGATTGTGATTGAACATATGTTCGGCTACACAAGATTTATCTAACCTGCCATATTTTAAATGGGCTATGTGTTCTTTGAACCTTGTTTTTATGGGTCGCCTGGTTTGGCCTATATATGTTTTATCACAATCATTACAACTTATTTTGTATATTCCCGACTTTTCAAGTGTGTCCACTTTATCTTTCGGATTGCCTAATAAATTGCCTAGTTTTGACCCAGACTGATAAACGCTTTCAAAACCTAAGTCTTTGAAAACCTTATCAAGTCCCTTCGTATACTTGGGATTGTACGGGATTGGGATTCTTCTGGAGTTCTTTTTATCCGCTTGAAAAGTCGTAGAATATCGAAGTGTTGACTTAAATTTATGTCTACGTATTAATTTATCTACTATTTTGATATCATACCCATTGACGCTAGCCACTTAATAAACAACATTTCTTTCAGCATTGAATCTTTCTTTGCTGAGAGGAAAGGAAATCAATCTGTGTACTAGAAAATTTAAACTAGCCATTTTGTGCTGAAAACAGTGATTGGAGTCATTAGGTATGTATCTAAATGTGTTAGTTTCTTTTCTAAAGACATCAAATTCTTTTGCTATTTTTGATACAAAAACCACAGATATTGATAACTTTATTTCAAAATTGAATAACTGCTTCCCCTCTATCAAATTCACTTATGAATGCGAAAATCAAGGCAAATTACCTTTCTTAGATGTACTTGTGATCAAAAATAGCGAATTTAGAATTTGATGTCTTTAGAAAAGAAACTAACACATTTAGATACATACCTAATGACTCCAATCACTGTTTTCAGCACAAAATGGCTAGTTTAAATTTTCTAGTACACAGATTGATTTCCTTTCCTCTCAGCAAAGAAAGATTCAATGCTGAAAGAAATGTTGTTTATAAAGTGGCTAGCGTCAATGGGTATGATATCAAAATAGTAGATAAATTAATACGTAGACATAAATTTAAGTCAACACTTCGATATTCTACGACTTTTCAAGCGGATAAAAAGAACTCTAGAAGAATCCCAATCCCGTACAATCCCAAGTATACGAAGGGACTTGATAAGGTTTTCAAAGACTTAGGTTTTGAAAGCGTTTATCAGTCTGGGTCAAAATTAGGCAATTTATTAGGCAATCCGAAAGATAAAGTGGACACACTTGAAAAGTCGGGAATATACAAAATAAGTTGTAATGATTGTGATAAAACATAATATAGGCCAAACCAGGCGACCCATAAAAACAAGGTTCAAAGAACACATAGCCCATTTAAAATATGGCAGGTTAGATAAATCTTGTGTAGCCGAACATATGTTCAATCACAATCATAACACACATATTACTAACCTCAAATTAGTTAAGCAAGTTAATAACATTAGAAAACTAGACGCATATGAAAGCTTAGAGATATTTAAGAATAGTGATAGAGTAATGAATAAGGATAATGGACCTATTCCATATAGCCCTCTATATAGTTTAGTAAATTAAGATTAACATGTGAACTCAACCATGACAAATATTAACTTGACGGTTAGTATTTTTCACAGTTGGGTGAACATATACCTAGTATATAAGCAGCACAGTAGAATAGGATTTTTAGTTTTAATCTTCTCCTGAAGATGCTAACATAGTTAGCGAAACACGTGTCGAGGCGTTAAAAAATCGGTTTGGTTAGTGGTTAAACAGTGTAGTATATTATCGTGCCAAAGGTTCCAGTCTTCGATGTATCAGTCATTTTCAACCAATCAGATGCGTTATTTCGACATTGTTACTATGGTAACCAGCAAATTTTGCTTAAATTTCTAATCCACATGAGCATGTAGACGAAAAATTGATAAGTGGAAATTTTCTGGCACATGACAGCAGCTATCATGTAATTAGACAAAATTGAAAAAAAATTGACTATTACACTCATCACATAATCTGACATTAGCTCTCTTTTAATTCTGATTGGTCTTTCAGCGTTGATATTTTCAACGATGTAACCATGAATAGCTAAGCAAAGTCTGGATGTAACCATAGATAGCAAAGCAAAGTTTGTCAGTTTGGCATAAAAGACTTATGGCTGTACTTGTCAAAATGAATCACTCATTTATAAAAAACGCTTTTTATGCTTTGTGAACGTGAAATAAAATAACACTCTGTTCTGAATATCTTCTCATAATTCTGTCCTTCATTGCTCAGGAAATTGTGTTGCCGAGTATATCTGTTATATATCTGAATTTTATTTCACTAGGGTATAGGGAAAGTACATATTCACTTAATGTTTTCTTTTTAAATATAATAGGCCAGTGGACTATTTTTTTTATTTCTTAAATAGAATCATCACTCAAATACCTCTTAATTTCATAGTTTTTTAGAATTTTTCGGTCGATTTTTAGGTGCCAAAATCATGAATAATGCCACGGTGAGTTTCAAACGTATTGAAATTCACCGCGAGTAAAAACGGACGTTACGAATTCATAAGTAGGGGCAGACCATAGCTCAGTTGCCATGTAATGAAATACGGTTGGGAACTTCAGAAATATTAGTTATTCGATAATTATTACTGAATTCTCAATTGAGTATTGGTAATACTTATAATTAGCAATAACAATTCAATTGACTCAAAACGTTTCCTTATGATTTGTAATAATAATTATATTAATTCACACTAGAGGACATTTGAATCGGTGAACGTGACAACCACGACGCACGACTTGTGGGCGTGGTCTTGTCAGTTCTCAGCATTCAGCACAATGTTGCCAAGTCTCCAACATTCATATGTTATTTTGTTGGGGAGAATAAGAAATATTTGGATATTCTGGTTGCTCAAAAAAGTCAAGAATGAACTAAAACATCATGGATTCCTCCTATTATGTTTTATTCAACAACAGAAATCTAACATCTTTTTGATAACTTGATTATAATTGGTGACTTGACAACCTTGCTTCATGAGTTGAAATGGAAGATTATCTGACCAATAACAAAACAGCATAAAAATCAACAAGTGAGAAGTGTTGCAAAAATTGATGTAGGTTCCTAAGGATGCAGTGGAATAGTTGAATGCCAATGATTCATTATCAGTCCACTTGCCCACTGTCGAGCCCACTGTTGAATCCAAAACCACTACTAAGTTTGGATATCATACCTCCAGAACTATGGAAACCAAGGTTTGTCTAATGGATTCATGTGAAAAAAAAAATTATAATTTTTGTATTGTTTGATTGAATTACTTGGAAAAAAAAAGTTCTCTAAATCTGAGCATAGAATGAAGAAATGCTAAAATATTACTGTTTCTGAATATTTTTTCACCAAACTATTACATGCAATTCCTTGAATTGAAGATTACCTGGGTCAATAGAAAAAAATAATCTATAAAAACCACATTATGTTCTTGATTATGTTATCCTCTCTGAGGTATTCATAATAGTTTCTAGCAGAAAATTCAGGCCACTTCATAAACAATTTTTGTCAACAATTTACCATTTTTTTAAGAAAGGTACTTTTTCTGGGCACTTGCTATAATCTCTAATCAGAATCAAAATGATTTTTAGATTATCCCCTGCAAAATTTAGTCTTGCTTGTTGACATAATCAATATATTGTACACCAAACTTTATGTTCAACCTGAAAATATATTTTGAATATCTTGGTGAGGGATGAACCTGCCCTGTAGAAACATGGTTAAAACTGGTTTCAAGGCTCATCAATAAACAGCCAACTGTGCAGTTGGCTCTAAGAAATTAGGTTTAGGTGGGTTTTGAAAAACCAAGTCACCCCAACATTTTATAAACTAGGTAAACTACCATGGAGTTTCGAGTTATAATTTTCCTGATATTTCAAATATTATCCATGAATTCTGATGTATTATACAGTGAGCATGTGAAGGTTGTAGCAAATTTGTTAAAAGCTTGATATGGCTCAGACATGCCAATTGTCCTCACAATTGTCTTTTTCAGTTGCCCAATAGTTTGTTGGTTTATTCAGTCCTGTTTTCATTCTCATAAATTACATTATTATGCATGAAATCTCTTTTATTTTGCCAAACTAAAGTTTTGGTAACATAAGAAAAAATATGACATTCATATAAAGAAAAATGAGTTCTTTTTGGAAGTATTCTCAAAAGAGGGAATTGCTATTTCAAAAGAATGATAATGAATTGAACAGTGATGACTTCAAAAATATGAGTAGACCATAAAATGCCCAACTGAAAAAGAAAATCAACATGTCTGAGCTTTTTTCCCTACTGGCCATATCAAGCTTTTAACAAATTTGTTCCATCCTTTATGTGCTCACAGTATATTTGTCTGATATGGTTTACCTCTTGGTTTAGCCACACTAGTTCACCCCCATTATTACCTGATAGTTTATAATGCTTCAGTATATCATGACATAATGTTCTAGATGTATAGTTATATAATGTTTCCCCTGAAGCTTTTTCCACTTCTAAAGGCAATTGCCAAGACAACATTTCCTTTGTTTGACGTGCATTTATCATCAAGGGAGCAGATGTGGTTGCATTACTCTTGATCCATATTCTTGGTGGCACATTAGTGGGCCTATTAATCTAAACAAAGAAAACAATAATATTCATAGTACAATTTAAAATTAAACCACTCTTACTATATTGTCTGTAAATCCCAAAATGTACTCTATACTGTTGTTTATATAGAAAGTGTAATTTTTGTTATATTCCAATTCAGAGATATTTGGATAATATGCAAAGCTATGATTCACCAATACCAGAAGCAGTGTACTCCCAAAGAAGTATCTATTCTGCTGGCTATTTAGATGCATATTTTATTATTTATAGAATAAACAATCACACCACATCCATTCAAAATTGTCTACTATAAACAAAAACAAACAGCCGGCGCTAACTACCTGGGCACGGAAGGTATACATAAAGAACAATTTCGTATTCTGGCTCTTTCCTGAATATCTATTGACCAATCTGGTACTAGTCGATAGTAGCACCGACCTCCACGAGGCACTGGCCAATAAGGCCAAATGCCGGCAAATATGTCTAAAAAATAATGATGACATTAACATTAAAAGTCGATTTTTAATGACATTTAACAGGCAGAAAAAGTGTAGATTTACTGCCTACGCAGAAAAAGTTTGTTGCTATGCAACGTTCCAAATAATTTGAATCAAATTGGTAATCAAAATTGACAATGACTTTGGTTGAAATTGGAAAGAATTTGGAGAAAAAATTGTTTCACATGGCAGGAAAGAAGATGTAATGCCTTGGCCGGTTTCCTAGCCGCGGCTACTACGGCTACGCCAGGATTGTGAAACGCCAGCTGCGGCATTAAATCTTGTACTTTTCTGTCTAGTAAAACAAATAACTATTTGTTTTATTTTAACATCATTTTAATCTCCAGTAAATCTCAGGATTCATTTGTCAACACCTTCTGGTGGGCACCGCAAGGAGTCAGAAAGCCAAGAAACATAAATGCAGAAGAAGACTAATTTTCATTTGTCATTCGCGCATTTTATAATTTATTTATTGCAAATTTGTCATCAATCATGCAAACAAGGAGTTCAATGAATATCAAAGATCAATTTATTTAGATACGCTGTCGCTGTGGACTACACTATTTATTTTAAGAAGACTTCTAGATAGGTTGTTGTCTTGTTGATAGTGTAAAGTTGGTCCAGGATTTCCAGGAAGTCAAATGGACCCTCCTGTTAAACCAGACGAATCTGATTGCTGTAATGCGGGCTGTAACCCTTGCATATTAGATGTTTATGAAGAGCAATTAAAAAAATATAACAGATTGAAAGATTCAATTGGAACTTCAGTAAAAAAAACAGAAAACTGCATGTCACCAACTTCTTATTCAATTTTCAAAATGATAAACATTGAAAGAAATGCAGATGATGCATTTTTATTTACCTTTGAATATGTAAGACCTAAAAAAGGACAGACCAGTAGTACACAGGATCAATGTATTTCTTATACTCCTGGTCAGTACTTCATGCTGAAGGTGGAAAAGGAAAATGAAGAATTTACAAAGGCTTACACACCAATACCCAATGCAAAAACAGGTAAATTGCAATTCACTACACTTATTAAACTCTATGAAGGGGGGAGAATGTCAAATTATCTCAGAAAATTATCTATTGGAAAAGAGACAATATGGAGAGGCCCTTATGGTGAATTCAATATCAAATATGATAACAAACATATGCTTTTGATAGCTCAAGGAACTGGTATAGCTCCATTATTCAGTATAATCAACAAAATGATTGATAATGAAAATTGTTTAACTTTCCTCAAACTATTTTTTTGCTGTCAAAGTTGTAATAATATTTATTTGAGAAATGACCTACATGCATTGCAGTCACATTGGAATTTTAGTTATGAAGTGTTCCTTGGTGTTACAGAGGATATTGTTCCAAAGTATAATGAAATTATCCACCCAAGAAGGTTAGATATAAAACCAATTCAAAATCATTTAATTGATAAATGTGAAGATGTTCAGATTTTGATAAGTGGCAGTGAGAGTTTCATGAAAGACATAAAAAATCCTGTAGTCCATTGCAATGTTACAGAACAAAGTATATTTCTTTTTTAATATGAACACTTGATGAAAAGAAATAAAACTAATATTCAGTCAAAAGTAATGAACGGTTTAATAGTATGTACATCCTGTTGAATCATAATACTTATTTGGAATACCAGGAGACATGAACTTTCCATTAATTCCTCAAAATTGCAAAACTATGTTGAATGTCATCTCAAATCTTGGATGTGCCATGTTTGAAATTAAGATTGATGCCTCCAGGATGAATTTACAATAGACCTGTATGATTTCTAACATAACTCATTAATTCTATGTATGTGATATTCAACACTGTCAACACTTGAAAAAATAAACGTGAAAATTAATCTGGAATTGTAACACATAAATTTGTCATTAATGGATCACATCTCATGGCCAGCTGCCTGTCGCAGCAGTATGTATATTTTTTCTTTTATCCAATCCTTATTATAGGGAGCATAGGTGTTTGTAGACTTCTGGTACACAAGGCAACTCAAATCTGAAAGCTAAGATAAATGTTGGTGTCAATACAATATTATTTATTACCTTTCTGATCACTGAAATAACATGAAGGACAATAAAATCCGATAATACTGGAAACCATATGGTTAGAGTCACTGGATGGTATTAGTAACATAAGAGTTTGGACACAGAAATGACAACTGTTAGTGTTTTTGAATGTTTAGATTTATTAGGCTATAATACACATCTTACTTTCTAACAAGAGCACCATAGTCGTCCAGCACTATTTCATTCAAAATTATATCAGAATTGAAATGTTATTTTATAAACTATTGAGAAGAAAGCATGAATAATGTCCTCCTATTTAATGAATAGTAGGAGTTTATTATTAAGATAATGAATTTCATTTATTCAATTTTCCAAAAAGGAAATATCAACCATTCTCATATGGAAGGAATATACCAAACAACCTGGATGGAAAATTTTGAAGACAAGCAGACTTTGTGAGGTAAATAGGTACATTGAAATTAACTTCTTATAACAGCAGATTAGACTGAAATTAAAGGTCGCTCCTGTTGAAATGTGAATAACTTTTTTCAGTTTCGAACAATTTGAATTTGGTTCACACTGTTCGATAGCCCAGTCCTTCAGCTATAATCTCGTACTTCATTGAAACATGAGGGCATTCACATAAAATCTCTACATGGTGTTTTCTGACACTGTGCAAAATTTCGGAATATTCAAAATGCTCTCAAATGGTGAACAAAATTTTTTTCTCAACTTCGACAACAGAGGCATGAAGATGATCTCATTACCTCGAGATATTTCGCGAATCAACTTCCTATCTCTCTTATTTACAGAGTGGTCTCAAAAAATCAACTTTTTGGTTTTGCAGCCATAACTTTTTTCCACGTCAACCGATTTTGGAAATCTTAGGATCATTTTAAAGATAAAACTTCAGATGAAGAGATCTGAATATCAGAATTGACTCAAGATGGCTATCAAAGATCTAGAGTTTTCTTGAAAGTGACCCAAATCTGGAACGCCCTCCGAATCTCGGTTGGGAGGAGAATTGAATGAAAATCAACTTGTTCTCGGAAAAACAATTCATTCTGGATGCGTCCATATTTTCCTCGCTCTCAGTAGTCAAGAATGTGCGTTAGAAAACACAATTGAAACATGTTCTTGCAAAAACATCAGACCATTTCTCCTCTGTAATGCATGGCCCGTAACCATAGTGTAACAAGAATCACAGTAAGTGACTGACACGTCAGGTTAGACGTCGTTCTCGAATCATAAACAGATTTTGATAGTTTCGATGCCGCATCTAACGCCCGACCAGTTGGAACTGATTCCACAAATGAGGAAACAAGGGTTATCTTCCCTCCAAATCGCGGTACTGCTAAACACGACAGTCCGATCCATGGGTTGCGTGCAAGAACTGTCAGATGACCGACACTGGAGGCAAAATATTGAAACACAAACGTCACTTTTCTTATTTATTTACAAGTGATCGAAATAGTTTTTCACAATTATTTTGGCATATGAATCGTATTTTTCCGCTATTCATCAATTCGCTCATGCCATCACATTGTGCTGTTGTAAAATGCACAAAAACTGCAGCGGAAGATGAAGGAATCCGGATGGTACATTATGATCTAAAAGTAAGTACCTACTATAGTCACTCACAATTTGTTTCCATTTTTGAAATTTGGTAATTTCTCTGATTTCTCCTCGGAATTCCTTCTGCGATAGGAGCTAATAGGAATACACCTGAAATTTCTAAAATAATGCAAGAAGATTGGATTCATGCAATCAATCGGGAGGACTGGTCTGACATGCTGACGATCGTGTGTGTTGTAGACACTTTCAATTCATTTAGCAGTATTAGCTTGTGCAGGAGTGGCAGAAGGCAGAAGGAATTTTAATAAGGAATGACAACATTTCATAATGATAACTATGTGAGATTACTATTCACCTGAAAAATCATATTTCTCTTGCTGCATTTTTTGTGCATTGTACAACAGCACAATGCGAAGGCATGCTCGAATTAATGAATAGCGCAAAAAACACGATTCGTATGCCAAAATATTGTGAAAAACTATTTCAATCCGTTGATTCCTCTGTAACCAAGTAAAAAAGTGAGGTTGTGTTTCAATAATTCACAGAAGAATGAGGTTGTGTTTCAATATTTTGTCTCCAGGGTCGGTCATCGTGCACGCGACCTATTTTTAGTATTTCTTAACCTTTTTACTGCGGGAACCGGATAAATACGCACTAACTTTTCTGGGTGGACGGCGGGAAGCGACCGAACACGCGATTATAATTGTATTTTGTGTTGCATATGGATGGTACTTTGTCGCTAGCCGAGACGTTTACAAAAAGTTTCACTATCCTGGCGCTTCACTGCAGAAACCGTATGAATCAGCGTATTTTTTACCAGGGATGACCTCGGACATGTTGGTTCTTGAAAAGTCGAATTCATGTTAGTTCGGCTTGTGGCAACAGTTCGTCTCGATGTGACCTCAAGACGACACAGTTATTCACTTTACTATGGTTTCCGGGGAAACAGTGTCAGACACATGGCAAAATGATGAGTTGTTTCAATATTCCATTTGGGAATTAGGAGAGGGTCAACTCCAAGTATTTCATTATTGAAATGAAAGGCTTTCCGATCCGAAAAAATCACATGGGATTTACCTCCTCCTAAATTCCAAATTCCCTAGATAATTCTGAGTACGGCTCTGCATCAATTTATCGGTTCACCGTGGGAACCTTATATAT